CTGGCCTGGCTGGTGTGGGGCCCGGGCCACTGTGCCCTCTGGCTGGAACCGGCCTGTCACGGGGGAGCCTTCAGCTGGTCGGGACTTCAAAGTGCACAGCACCTCCCCGTGTCACCGACTCAGCCTGCTGAGCACTGCTTTGCTCCGGGACCCATGGTCCATGCAAACGTCAAAGAGGGGAGGGTAACGCCCCCTCTGAGGGCTGGTGCACTCTCCCACCCCCATCCCGGGTCACTTAGGCAGCGAAGGAGGGCTGTGAGTGTGTGTGTGTGTGTGTGTGTGTGTGTGTTAAGAAGGTTTCCTGCACCGTGGAACTTGGTCACTAGCATAGAAGTGTGAATTCTGGTAAAATCAGACCTGCAGGTTTGGTTAAACGTGGAATCGATACTGCGTAAGCATAAACCTGCACTGACGTCCTTTGAAGACGGCGTGAGTTGGTGCATTTCAGCTGCTCGTCCCACCCGCGGGCCCTGCAGGCTCACGGCCCTGGTGTGCCGGGGAAGCTGCTGGCACGGATGCCCCCTCTGCTGCATTCGCGGACACAAAGGCCGACTGTTGCGCGAGTATTAGTATGCAGATGCTCCGGTGGGGTGTTAGCGCAGCTCATTGGTACAGTGGAGCTATTGTCTTCCTTTCACATGGGCAGGGATCTGTATTAGCCACAGAACATGAAGCACAGCTACGAACCCAGAATCTAGCTTTCCTGTTGCTCTTGTAGCCTAGAATCAGCACGCATCCCTGCAGGCCACAGCTTTTTACTGGCCACGGTCGCGGCTTTAAACTGACCACAGCTCTGTCCACCGCAGCTCCGCGCGGCCCACGGCTCTGTAGTGACCAGGCTTATGCGGGCCATGGCGCATACGGATCAAAGTATTCTTCGTGTTGCTTTCCCAAATACCTCGGTGCAGTCATGAATTCAACAGACGCTGTAAATGCCAGTGTTCCCGCGTGGCTGAATGTAACCAGGGCTCGCGAAACAGTGGTGCCACCACAGATTCCTGCCCCATTTTGTCCTGTCTTTTCCATGTGCCTTTTCCTAGACTGGGTGGCCTGTTTTGAGGCGTACAGCCTGGCCAGTGTAGACACTCTTGGCGTATGGCATGGCCAGTGTAGACTCCTGGGTGAGTGTTGCGTATGTACACACCTGCAGCCACACATAAAACAAACCAAAAGGATCCCCCCTCACCCCTCGTGTGTGGCTCGCCCCAGAACGAGTGTCCGACCTGCCCCCAGCCCCCAAACCCAACCTCATACAAAGGGGCCCGTGACAAACTCAGAGCAAGGCAGAGCGCGTCAGTCAGTCGCTCAGCAGGTGTGGGAAATACTGAGGAGGACATGGAGCCTGAGCTCCCGGTGGCTTAGCTAGAAAGTGTTCTTCCACGTGCACTCGCTCCCCGAGGCTTGCGGTCTGGGCTGCTGCCAGGCTGTCATCTGTGTGAGTCAGTAGCTCTCATAACACAAGTGGCTACTGCGTTTTACTAGTGTTTGTGCAGGGTCGCGAATTAGGAAGGCAGAGACCGGGGCTGCGGCAGTTCCAGGAGCACACTGCTGGGGTGTGCGTGCGTGCGTGCGTGTGCGTGTGTGGGTGTGTGCGCGCATGCACACGTGCCCGGAGACGGTCTCATGACCTTGCCAGGTCTAAACTTGGGTAAAAGATGCACCTGATCTGCTGGCTGCAAAGAGCCGGTGCCAGAGCCGGTGGGGGACCCCTGCGCTGGCCTTGCAGCTTGCGTGAATGTTGGCGAGTTCTTTCCCAGGAGGTGAAATTCTTCCAGACTGTCTTTTCAACCCAAGTGAAGGACACCCTCAGAGTGTTTCCGAGTGTGAAGCCGACCCCGTGGGAATCCCTGTCCTCACGGGTGTTCAGGGCGTCCCAGCTCTGGGAGTTGTTCAGGAAGGAGTCTGTGCAGCGGGCCGGGGCCTGACCCTGCCTGGAAGGTCTGGCTGCAAGGCTGGCCCTGCCCGTGGCCTGGAGCTGGACCTCGGTGTGTCACCCGCCACCCCACACCTGACAGGGTGGTCACAGGGCCTACAGTGCCCGTGCGCCAGATGGCGCCTTTCCGCTGGGGACTCTGGTGTCACGGCCCGTGCCAGGCACGGGAACTTGGGGCTAGTCCCGTCTCCAGGAGCGTCCCTGTTGGACTGCATTTCCCTCTTGCTGGGACGGTCGGGGTGTCCCTGGTGACAGAGGAGAGGCTCCCGGACTCGTCACGGGCACCGTGTTCTTGTCCTGGTGCTGTAGGAGGTCTGGCTGTGGGCTTGGAAACAGGTTGGTGGAGGGCGCCCCAGCAGTTACCGGAAGGTGCCCTTTGGGGAAAGCAGCCCCGCCCACATCCCTCGCCCTGGCTTTAGTAGGTGTTTCTCCTGTTTATTCTCTGCCTTCCCCCTTAATGGGAACTTGGAGGGGCCTGGGTGCTGGGTGCTGGGTGCTCGCAGCGGCTGCTCCGGGGCGCGTGCCCTCCGTGCCCTCCCAGCTCCAGGCCTGGCTTTCTTCGCTCCGTTTTGGAGTCAGTCTCCCACGCCATCCCGTCTTCCAGCAGCTGTGTGCATCACCGCTTTCCAAGCCTGCTCCTGGCCCTGCCCGGCCTCCAGCCTCCCAGGGCCACCACCTTCCTCTCTCGACTCAGCTCGCTCCTGCCCAGGCCTCCTAGGGGCCCCTTCTGCCAGCCGCACCCCGAGTCTTTACCTGGCCCAGACAGCACCGAGTGAGGCGCCTACGTGACAGCCTTGGCGAGCGCGGCCTTCGCGTTGGACCTGCTGGGAGACCAACACCGGGGCTTAGAGTGACAGGAGCTCCTGCCCGCACTTGCAGGGACAGAGCCCTCAGGCAAGGCGTCTGCAGGGCGAGGAGCACCCCTTCTGTGCCTGCAGGCGTCTGCAGGGCGAGGAGCACCCCTTCTGTGCCTGCAGGCGTCCCTGGGATCCCATGCATGTGGAGGTCGCCCCAGCCTCTGCTTCCCTCCTCCCATTTCTTCCCTGTGCACCTGTTTCTCTATGTCCGAATTCTGTCTCCTTGCAAGGACACCAGCCACTCGACCAGGGCCCTCCGTATGACAGCAAAGGCCCCATTTCCCAGGAAGGCCACAGTCACAGGTGTGAGGAATAGGATGTGGACGCAACACTTTGGACCATAACGTACATTTTCATATCATTCCCCTGCTGGAGTGTAAGCAACACGAGGAGACAGGGACAGCATCTTACTTGCTGTAACCCAGACATCTAGAAAAATGCATTCCAGATGCTCAATAAATGATGGACGGATGGGTGGATGGATGGATGGATGGACCGATGGATAGATGGACACACAGATGGACGGATGGATGGGTGGATGGATGGAAGGATGGATGGAAGGATGGATGGATGGAAGGATGGATGGATGGACCGATGGATAGATGGACACACAAATGGATGGATGGACATACAGATGGATGGATAGATGGATGAATGGGTGGATGGATGGACGGATGGATAGATGGACACACAAATGGACGGATGGATGGAAGGATGGATGGATGGATGGATGGACCGATGGATAGATGGACACACAAATGGACGGATGGATGGACATACAGATGGATGGATGGACAGACGGATGGATGAATGGGTGGATGGATGGACGGATGGATAGATGGACACACAAATGGACGGATGGATGGATGGACATACAGATGGATGGATGGATGGGTGGGTGGATGGACACAGATGGATGAATGGATGTATGGACCTACAGATGCATGGATGGGTGGGTGGATGGACACAGATGGATGAATGGACCTACAGATGCATGGATGGGTGGGTGGATGGACGGATGAGTAGGCAGGTATACAGATGGGTATACATGTGGATGGGTGGATGACTGGGTGGGTAGACAGAAGGATATATTATGGATACATAGATAGATGGGTGTATGGATGGGTGTTTGAGTGAACAGGGATGTATATGTGTAGATATATATATAGATGTATATAGATGTACATGGATGTATATATATGGATGGATGGATGGATGGTAGACAGAAGGATATATTATGGATACATAGATAGATGGGTGTATGGATGGGTGTTTGAGTGAACAGGGATATATATATGTGTGGATATATATAGATGTATGTAGATGTACATGGATATATATACATGATGGATGGATGGTAGACAGATGTCTACGGGGATGAGTGGATGGATGCATGGATAGATGTGGATGTGGATGGGTGGGGGATGGGCGTGTGGCTGGCTGGGAGGGTGGACAGATGGATATATGTGGGTTAATGGACACATGAATGCTGTTGGGTAATGTCACTGGATGAGTGAGTGGATGGATGGATTGTACTGCAAGAATCTGTCTTCTCTTAGTAATGGAATTTGGAGAAGAACTAAGTGAAGCTGACTTCCTTACTGTGATTTGAGAGCAGAATGGAGGCATGCAGCGTGAACATCTTGTCCACTGCAAGCCTCGGGCTTGTTGCTGCTTTCTTTACGGAGAAAAAGCCAGAGGAAAATGTCCTGAGTAAGCGATTCGCTAGTGCAAGAGGCCTCTTGTGGAATCTGGGAGTGAAAGAATTCTGAATGTCCCACTTCTGTAAGGCGTGAATTACAAAAAGATGTGGGAAGTCCCAAGTTTGCCAAGAACAGTAACAACACCTTTTGTCAGACGGGTGCTGGCCGCCGTGGAGCTCCTGCGGCAGGCCTGTGGGGGGCGCTGTCCCCCGGGCGCGGCTGCTCTCCCACAGGCAGTCCCCTGTGTTACGGTGCTGCTCGGCTGCTCCCTCCGGAAGCCCCCCTGTGCCCACCCCGGGGCCTCCTGCCACGCGAGGCTGCACCGCCACAGCCCCGTGCAGGTTGGTCTCTGCCTGCAGTGCCCGCAGGCTGCCTGGAGGCCGTGTGGGCCCCGCACTTGTTCTGTGCATTTTATAGGAGACAGCCAGTCCAAGACCCCTGGAAGAAAGCGGCTTTGTCTCGGCCTACCCGGCACAGGCCCGTATTCACATCTCATTGTTGTTGCAGGAGAGGCAGATGCGGGCCGGAACAATGGGGCCTCGTCCAGGGACACGGCGGTGACAGACTCCAAGCGCACAGCGGACCCGAACAATGCCTGGCAGGGTGCCCGCCCAGCTGACCCCAGGAGCCGCCCCCACTTGATCCGCCTCTTTTCCCGAGATGCCCCGGGCAGGGAGGACAACACCTTCAAAGACAGGCCCTCGGAGTCCGACGAGCTACAGACCATCCAAGAAGACAGCGCAGCAGCTCCGCAGGACCTCGACGTCATGGCGTCCCAGAAGAGGCCCTCCCAGAGGCACGGCTCCAAGTACCTGGCCACAGCAAGTACCATGGACCATGCCCGGCATGGCTTCCTCCCCAGGCACAGAGACACGGGCATCCTCGACTCCATCGGGCGCTTCTTTAGCAGTGACAGGGGCGCGCCCAAGCGGGGCTCCGGCAAGGTGAGCTCCGAGTAGAGGAGCGTTAGTGTCGGTGGGACAAGGGGGTCCACGGGGAGCTCGGCCGGCGGCCGGCGGACTGGCACGTGGCCCCTCCGTGGCTCCAGGGGCATGGGCCGGGGTTGCTGCTTGGGCTGCTTCGGCACGGTGCCTCCTCCTCCTCCCCACCAGGCATGGTGGCCAGCGTGTGGCCCAGGAGCACAAGGCCGTCTGACTTGTGGGTCTCCGGGGTGCCTGTGCTGTGGGCACTACCTTCTTGCTTCCTTGTGCCATGCGCGGGGGGTGGGGGGGCTTGCTGCCGGCCGGCCTCGGCAGCCCCCTCTGGGCTCCCCCTGAGCTGTACTCTTGGTCTGCGACAATGATCCGATTGAGCCAGCCCTGAGTGTGAATCCGCCTGGAGCGCGCGTTCTCTCTGGTCCGGACCGGTTCCTGGGGGTGGGGTGGGGGATGGGTGCGTGTGAGTCCGGCCCGGACTGTTTGGTGATGCCATTCTTTTGAGTCATCGCGGAAGCTTCGTTCTTTGAAAGCGAATGTTCTGTGGGTACAAAGCAGGCTGCAGTGGGGCCGGGTCTCCTCGCTCCCCGCGGTGGCTGTGCACGCGGGCGGTGGCCACGGCTGATGCTCCACTAAAGGGCAGACCCCGCTGGCATTTGGGCCACAAATGAGAAGCTCCCCAGTGCCGGGCGCCGTGGGGTCGTGGTGGCGAGAGGGGGCACTTTGCAAAGCCCCGGTTCACTGGACGTCCCCACAAAATCCGTACCCCACTTAGCTCTGCCTGTGTCCTCTGCTGTTGCGTGAAGGCTTTGGGAATCTAAGTGGCTTTGGGCTAAAGTGTCAGACGCCAGCACCCCACGCACACCCCAGGGCGTCTGTGGGGGCCCAGCGTTGGCCTCTGTCGCTGACCACGGCCGTTGGAATGGCTGCCCATCACGGAGTCACAAGATGAACCCCATGCCGGGGTCTCCTTGGCTTTGGCTGGAAGCACACCGGCCGCCGCCAGATGCGCCGAGCGCCGAGCCCAGGTTTCGTGTGACACTGTCGGGCTCTGACAGCACTTGGCGTGGCTCAGGTGTTACAGTAGGTCCGTCCTGTTGGTCGTGCGGGGACTGTGTTTGCCTGGGCGTCTGGTGTCCCCTGACCTGACCCAGAGGCCCGTTTCCCTGGAAGTGGTCCCCGGTGGCAGCCACACCAGGTGCCGGCGGAATCTGGTTGCTGAGTCTGGCTCTCAGGCTAAGCCCCCGGATGCGTCCCAGGTCAGCACTTTGGGAGACTTCCACCAGTGGCCTTGATTCGAGGAGAGGGCGAGTGTGTGCAGGGTGGATGCGTTCCAAAGCGACTCCATGTCAGCAGTGATGGTTTACGCTGACATAAGATTGCGAAAGCGTGTAAATCAATCATTGTGACTTCCTCGCAAAGTAGTCACACGCGTGTGTACAGGGGTACTCACATGTGTGTGCATGTGTGCTCGCACTGACATGTGTGTACATGTGTGCTCACACATGAACGTCTTCACTTTAGGTAGGATTACAGCTTTATTGTCTTAAATCTCTTATAATCTTCAGTATTTTCCAGAAAAGGATTAAGGTTCAGAAATAGTGAACCTTGTTGCAAGTAGAGTTGCTAGTTTACCAAGGATCAAAAAAAAAAAAACTTTTTTCACAGTATTGTTAGAAATTGCAAGTTTTTTAAATAACTTTTTAAAATTTTTGAAGTATCAATTCTTTCTATCAATGACTACCGGCTACAGATCTTTGAAGTGGACAGACTTTCCCTCTGAGGCCAGAAGTTCAGCTGGAGTTTGCATCACGTGGCACACAGCAGCCGCCCCCAGGCACAGCCAGAGGAGCGCCCCGGGGAGCAGCCTCGCTGGCCGTGTACCCTGTGGGACACCCCGGGGAGCAGCCTCGCTGGCTGTGTACCCTGTGGGACACCCCGGGGAGCAGCCTCGCTGGCCGTGTACCCTGTGCCGTGTCCCGGGGAGCAGCCTCGCTGGCTGTGTACCCTGTGGGACACCCCGGGGAGCAGCCTCGTGTGCACAGCGGCCACCCTGTGGGACACCCCGGGGAGCAGCCTCGCTGGCCGTGTACCCTGTGGGACACCCTGGGGAGCAGCCTTGCTGGCTGTGTACCCTGTGGGACACCCTGGGGAGCAGCCTTGCTGGCTGTGTACCCTGTGGGACACCCCGGGGAGCAGCCTCGCTGGCCGTGTACCCTGTGGGACACCCCGGGGAGCAGCCTCCCTGGCCGTGTGTGCAATGTCTCCCTAGCTGTGTACCCTGTGGGACACCCTGGGGAGCAGCCTTGCTGGCTGTGTACCCTGTGGGACACCCCGGGGAGCAGCCTCCCTGGCCGTGTGCGCAGTGTCTCCCTGGCCGTGTACCCTGCGCAGCGCCCCGGGGAGCAGCCTCGCTGGCTGTGTACCCTGTGGGACACCCCGGGGAGCAGCCTTGCTGGCTGTGTACCCTGTGGGACACCCCGGGGAGCAGCCTCCCTGGCCGTGTGCGCAGTGTCTCCCTGGCCGTGTACCCTGCGCAGCGCCCCGGGGAGCAGCCTCGCTGGCTGTGTACCCTGTGGGACACCCCAGGGAGCAGCCTCGCTGGCGTATGCACAGCGGCCCCCGTGTGTGTGGCGTGGGTCGTTGGCTCTGACACGTGGGAGAGACGAGCTCTGTGCCCGGGCGCCTGGCTCCAGGCCCACGGCCGTCCTACACGTCGGGGGGCCTGCTGGATCCTGAGGCCCCTTGCAGAGGTTGACATGCTTGGGAGGAAGACAGCGGCAGCCCTGGTGACCGCCTCTCACAGCAGAGGGGCCTGGTACCCTCTCTGGGCACACGGGGGCGCCCCCTGGCACAGCCTTGGAGACTGCAGCCTCTCTACCCAACCCGCCTGGCTGGTGGTGGTCTGCCGTCCCCACTGCTGTGCCCTCTGCCCTCGGCCCCTGGCACCTGCCGCCCAGCGCTGCGGTGCTGGGGAGGCCCATTCCCGTGTGGGCCACAGGGAGGAGGCAGCACACTGGCCTTTGTTGAGAGGGGGGACTGGTCCCTGCTGCCCACCAGGAGCAGGCCTTCCAGGCCAGGCTCTGGGGAGAGACGGAGCTGCAGCTGGCGTCGCCGACCCCTCCCCGCTCCGTCACACCCGGCCTCGGAGGCTGTGCCTCTCCAGTCCGTGGCCAGAAGCGAGGATTCACGGGGCGGCCTCATCTCCCCCCAGCCCTGCCCTCCCTGCTCACCGTTCCACCCACCTCTGCCTTTACTTGCGTTAGAGCATTCGGCAGGACTAACGTGACGCCGCCTCTCTCATGTTAACGCCACATGCAGTTCAGCGCCTCGGTAATCCGCGCTCCGTTGTTACCGTGCTGTGCCGGGCGTGGGGTGTGCCCGGCGCCCTGCAGAGGCCAGCACACGCAGGTGGCTCGCACAGTCAGGGCCACGGGGTTCGGCGGGGCCGGCCAGAGCCGCCCAGCAGAGTGTGGCTCGCGGAGGGCAGCAGGGGGAGGGCACCGCGCGAGGGGCTCTGCCACTGGGGTCTCGGCTCCTCAGCGCTCCCGCGGGACAAAGCCAGCCCTGGAGGGCGTGCTGCGCGCAGGGGTGGGCTCGGGCGGTGGCCAGGCGGGCAGTGATTCGGCTGCAGCCGCTGTCCAAGTGATACGCGGGACGTTCTGTCTGCATTTAACGAGAATTCCCTTCCGGTGATTGTACCACTTGATTTTGTTGTAAACCTTGGCTGACTGTGTATCCCTGCCTTTTTATGCATTTATTAAACAATACAATGGACCAAGAGTGGTGTGCTAATTGCCCGTGACTGTTTTACGTTGTATTTCCGGGGGCCCCTCCCCTGGCTAATTCAACACCTTGTGTCCTGCTGCTCTCATGGCCCTGGGACACCCAGGCAGGTGCGTGTGGGCCCCGCGCCCTGCCCTTTGTGGCCCTGGGACGACCAGGCAGGTGCATGTGGGCCCCGTGCCCCGCCCCTCGTGGCCCTGGGACGCCCAGGCAGGTGAGTGTGGGCCCCGCGCCCTGCCCCTCGTGGCCGTGGGACGCCCAGGCAGCTGCGTGTGGGCCCCCACACCCCACGCTCCACCCTTCGTGGCCGTGGGACACCCAGGCAGGTGAGTGTGGGCCCCACACCCCACGCTCCGCCCCTCGTGGCCGTGGGACACCCAGGCAGGTGAGTGTGGGCCCCGCGCCCTGCCCCTCGTGGCCCTGGGACGCCCAGGCAGGTGAGTGTGGGCCCCCACACCCCACGCCCCACCCCTCCTCCACAAGCACAGGTTTCTTTCTTCTCCGGTGCCCATCCGGGGTCCTCGCCCCTCTTTCGTGGCTGTCCCTACGTGCCTGGCAGTTTCAGCGTTTGCCCAGACCACTGTCCCGTGCGGGCTGCGGTGTGCAGTAGGCCGCATCTGTGCAGCCCTGGGCTCAGCACACTGCACCTGCTCCTGGCGAGCGCCCCCAGTGGCCGGTGGGGACGGTGCACACGGGCGGGCCAGCAGGAGACACAGGGCTCACCGTGATGACAGCCTCCACAGAGGGGCACGCAGGGCTGGGACCAGGTTCTTGGTGCGGACTCATCCTTGTGGCCACGGCCAGGTCTTACCAAGACCGCCGCCCCTGCGGGCCGCCCACGGAGAGCAGCTAACGAGGGTGTCCACGTGCTGAAGTCACCAGTGCCTGTTGCTTGTGTGGAAGTAGCCCTTGAGCAAACGGGGAGTCGCCCGTGAGGGGACGGCGAAGCGCGCCCCCACCTCAGATTTGCTCCTGGAAACCTGGGGCCGCTTCCGGCACTGCTTCTAGAAACTTCTGTGCCACAGGCGCGCCGGCTGCTCACTGCCCGGGAGGCGTCTCCTGCCCACTCCGAGCGGCCCTCCCGCTCTCCCTGCCTCCACTCTGCAGGGTCAGCAGCCCTGTAATGCCCGCCCCCTCGGAGGCGTTAAAGCGGCAGGCGCACTGTTAGAAGGGGCACCGGGGGCACACGGGACGGGAGCAGGCTCCGTCTGGGACTCAGAGCAGCCGGGCCACGGGAGGTTCTCGTGCACACTGAGCCCTGGGCTTCACCAGGCACGGGGAGAGGCCTGCCGCAGGCTGGCTGCCCGGGGAGGGCGGGAACGGCCCCACGGGGGTGTCCACCGCCGACCCCGCCAGGCACACTGGACATGCCGGTGGTGCCGACGCCCACACGCTTGCTAGGGAAGGCGCTGAGGCAGTAACATCAGTAAAACAGAAAGTGCTCCCCTCTGGGGCTCTGCCCTGCCAAGTCCCCCTCGCCGTCTGCCGGAGACGTCTTGCGTGTGGCACCTGCTACGGCACTAAGAGCGTGCGGTCCCAGTCCTGCACAGGGCCCAGGACACACTGGAGAGCCCACGCTGTCCCGAGATCGTCCCTCTTGTACCTTCCTCCTGGGCGTGCGGCCGCCCCAGCTTCTCCAAGGGCCCAGGCCGGCCTCTGCTCCCCTGGCCCTCACCACCCTCCGTCACCACACTGCCCACTCCTCGCTGCCTGGGGCCACACCGCAGACTCTGGGGCGCCCGGCGGTGCCCACGCCAGACTCACCGCACACTCTGTGTCCCCAGCAGGTTCCGTGGCCCAAGCAGAGCAGGAGCCCTCTGCCCTGCAACACCCACAGCCGCCCTGGGCTGTGCAACCTGTACAAGGTAAGGCCAGGGCCTCCGCGTTCTCCAGGGTCCGTCCCGGGAGCACAGCCTCCTGGTAGCGTTTGTGAGCCACCGCAGAGCAAGAGAGGCAGGTTCCGGCCCGGGGGTGCGGGGATGGGAACTCAGCAAGGGAGGAGACGGAGAAGAGCCCCCAGCAACCTGTCTGGGGCCCAGGGGCCGGCTGGGACCAGGCGTGGCTGTCAGGCCAGCGTCGTGAACAACCCGGGGCAAGTGCGGGCACAGGATCAGTGACCCCTGACCCGCACAGCCGCGTCCACAGGGCGTCTGCCTGGACTCCAGTGCCTCACAGGTATTTAGCGCTCAGTAACTGTTCCTTGGACCCTTGGGTGGTCCGGTCCCTCGAGTCTTCTGTCTGCAGCAGCTCAGGTGAGCTTTGCACAGGATGAATCCGTGACTAAGAGCTGTAGGCAGGTGGAGGTGGGGAAGGAGGAAGGCCTGCAGCCCGAGCCTGAGCCGGCCTCCGGTGGGACTGGTGCTGTAGGTAGGTGGGCTGACCGGGGAGGTTGGGGAGGAGGAAGGCCTGCAGCCCGAGCCTGAGCCGGCCTCCGGTGGGACTGGTGCTCGCGGTCGCTGCACACACTCAGGTCTGCCTCGCACGCTGCAGACGAAAGCCATCGCCAGCTGCCCTTGGCACCACCTAGGCTTTCGGACCTGGGGGAGTGACAGTGGTAAAGAACAGGTGCACAAAACCCTACTTCGCAAGAGCCTACGCTGACCTGCCTGTGGCTGGCGGGGGCGGGGAGGGGACGCGCGCCGTGGAATCCTCCCCTTAGCCGGTCCAGGTGGTGCAGGCAGGGGAGTGGGGCTGCAGCTGCTGCCCGGGCTGTGGAGCCCTGGAAGGGAAGGCGGGGTTGCAGCCCAGGGCCCACAGGAGAGGCGCTGCTTGCTGGGCATGGAACAGGTGCCCCCCCCCCCGGGACGGGGCTGTCCCCTGAGTGGAGGAGGGGCCTGTGAGGCTCAGAGTGCAGCGTGGGGCAGCCCGGCCTTGGTGGCACGCTGGCTTTGGTGGGGCCGAGGGACCACTGTGGGCAGCAGCCCGGGGGCTGTGGGAAAGGCCTCAGTTCCTGGGATTTCTCCATAGGGCCTCGGCACGCGGGGAACCCAACCCCCGGGGGACTCGGTGGCTTGGCGGGCAGACACTGTCCCCCGTGTGTGCGTTTCCCTTGGATCCGTGTGGCCGTGCCGCTGTGCTGTGACAGAGCATGCAGGGACACCTTTATAACCCAGCACCAGGGAGAGAGGGGCTCCTCTGGGGTTCTGATTACGGGAAGATGCCTTCGGCAGAATGCTGAATTTTTCTTTAAAAAAAAAAAAATTAGCAGAGGAAAACTGCCTTATCCCAGATGGACTTCTGTGCCTGCGTTAAAGACCTGGGCAGCACGAGGCACCACCCCGCCCCCGCAGTGGACACCTGGCCACATGCAAGTGTGTGTGTGCGTGCTGGCATGCAGATGTCTGAACTGAAGGCAAACAGTGAAGCCAAAGGCCCCAGTGCGCGGGACGGTGATGCGAGTGGGCTCTCAGCAGCTCCCTGAAGGCCAGAGGCTTCTTCAAGGCCACAGGTGCCCAGGGGAGGGCAGGGGACACGAGGCGCAGGTGGACTGCTCGCAGAACCGGTTCCCTCTCGCAGGGAGCGGGGGCCACGCTGTCTTCATGGTGAGAGAGCGCGCGCCAGGCCCCCCTCTCCAAGAAAGACAGGGCTGGTGCCCACGCCGAGCGCCTGCCTCAGCACGTCGGGTGCACTCCCGTTTCCAGAAGTGGATTTGAGTGTTAGTGGTTTTTTGTTTTTTTAAGCTTTATTGTATTTCTTTGAAAGAGCTACAGAGAGGGACAGACGCAGAGAGAGGGATCTTCCATCTGCTGGTTCACTCCCCAAGTGGCTGCAGCAGCCAGGACTGGACCAGGCCAAAGCCAGGAGTCTGGAGCTCCATTCAGCTCTCCCACGTGGGTGGGAGGGGCCAAGCACTTGGCCCATGATCCGCTGCTTTCCCAGGCCATTGGCAGGGAGCTGGATTGGAAGTGGAGCAGCCGGGACACAAACCAGTGCCCATGTGGGATGTTGGCATCTCAGGCGGTTGGATTAACCTGCTGAGCCACGGCGCCAGCCTTTGGCCTCTGGGGAGTGGGTTTAGCAGCGTCCATCCTGGGGAAAGGACAGAGGCCAGGCCACCCCAGATGGTGGTCAAAACCCAGTGGCCGTCCTGGACTCCTGATCTGGGCCTGTGGAGGAGGTGGGAGCCACTGGGTGGACGCCCCAGGCTGCAGAAACCAGGACTACAGCAAGTGGAGTCGGAACCAAAACCTTGCTGTGTGGCGCGGGAACTCAGCGGGTCTTGATGTGGACGCTGAGCCCCCAGCTCCGGCCCTGATCTGCCCAGCGCTCCGCCGCCTCTGGGCTCCTCCCTGCCCCTTCCTTCCCGTCCCTCCCTCCCCCCCAGCCTCTCAGAACACCAGTAAAGGTGAGAGAGCTCTGCCCACCCCCACAGCAGAGGACAAGTCGCTGGAGAACCAGACTCCAGAATTCCTCACCCCCAGGGCACTCGGCCTTTCTCAGGACAAACGGCTCGTTTCCCTGGGGACTGGGCGGCGGACAGAAGGGGGCATAAGAAGACAAGTGAAGCAGCTTTGAGGAACCCAAAAGCAAGCTGAGAAGGGGAGAATGCAAAGCACCCAGCGAGGAGAGAGATGCACGGACGTGCTCCCTAGGGTCCCTGTGCGCTCTGTGTGCCACCTCGCCCTCCTGTCTGCCCCGGCGTTGCTGGGGCCCGGGGCGTGGCACAGCTAGCACCAGTGAGAGCGGACGGTGCTGCGCAGGGCTCCTCGCTCCAGCTGCAGGGACGCTGGAGATACCCTGGGGGCTGACAGCCCTGCCGCCGGCTCCCACCAAGCGGTCACCTCCGGGACGTTGTCCTTCCCGGCCATCGAGAGCGTCCCAGGGTTCTGCTGGAAGCCCCTCCTGTCTGGGAGGCACCGACCGCGAGCACAGGACAGACTTGGAGCAAGAACGCGGAACGCACTCTGGGGTCTGACTCTGCCGCTCGCCTCCACGGAACTTCCTTTTCTCACCCACGAAACAGAGCTGCCTGCGACACAAGGGCCGTGCGCCCTGAACTGCGGGAAAGGAAACGCAGAGCCTTGGCCTGGCCCTGGGCCTGGGCCCCGGGCGGCGCCGTAACCGAGAAGCGCGGTGAGCCCGCGGGGCCTCAGCTGTGGAATCAGTGGCGGGTGCAGCGTCCAGTGCTGCAAATGCGTCTCCGAAGGCCGCGGTCCCCGGGGAGATGGCGGTGAGGAGGCGCACAGCCTTTGCCCCCCGCCCCCCCCCCCCCGCCATCAGGAGGTGACTTGCTGGGTGCTGGGCTTGTGACATCTCGTCCTGCTCGTGGGACAAAGGACGTCTCTGGCTGTCCAGGTGCTGCTTGCCTATCCACAGGCCCTCGGACCCCTCCAAGTCTGGCAACTCTTTCTTGCCATCTCCCAGAAAGGTGCCTCTGACCGGATCACGGTGACTCTTACAGCGCATGTGCCGAGAGGCCCTCGGGTATCCAGGCCACACCTGGCTCCTTGCAGACAGCACAGACGGGAGCCGTTGACTGCCCCCTGGGCCCTGCCTGGCCATCCCAGACAAGCTGCCCCTGCACCTGGCCACGGCCGTCCCAGCCCCCGCCCAGGAGACTCCTGCCACCTGCTGTGCCACGAAGGCCAGGAAGAGGTGCACGGGTGGTCACTGTGTGCCTCGTGCTTCTATGGAGAGACAAAGCAGTGGGATATTTCTGCTAGAAAGCGTTTGCGATGCACTTCAGACACATTGAAGTAGCTGCCTGCAAGCAAAGGGGGAAATCAGCCGGTGACGTCCAGCGCCGGGACCTGCGTCCAGCCGTGCTGAGCCGGGCAGTGGCCTCCCAGAGGAGCTGCCCGAGGGCACCACGTCCACCATCAGTGCCCAGGTGCCCCAGGCCACGAGCCTCTCCTGGGGAGATGCCCCCCGGGCTCCCCTGCCACGAGCGCTTAGTGGGTTTCCTGAGGAGCAGAGACGCTGCTTTATCCACCCCGTGATCGGGGCGCTGCCCCCGGCACAAGGTCCTCGTGGCACCCGCCTGACCGGAACCTCCGTGGGGGAGATGCCTCGTGGAGCACGTTGCCGACAGGGCGCCAGCCGAGCCGGAGAGGAGGCAGCCGGGCTACGGGGTGGGAAGTGCGCAGCCAGGCTGTGACTTCCTCCGCAGCTCCCGGCAGCCTGCTGCCCCGTGGGGCCGCCTGTCCTCCCGTGGTCGCTGCTGCCCCGTGGGGCCGCCTGTCCTCCCATGGTCGCTGCTGCCCCGTGGGGCCGCCTGTCCTCCCGTGGTCGCTGCTGCCCCGTGGGGCCGCCTGTCCTCCCGTGGTCGCTCCTGCCCCGTGGGGCTGCCTGTCCTCCCGTGGTCGCTGCTGCCCCGTGGGGCCGCCTGTCCTCCCGTGGTCGCTCCTGCCCCGTGGGGCCGCCTGTCCTCCCGTGGTCGCTCCTGCCGCAGCCCAGCCACCCCCAACCTCAGCTCAGACACTGTTAGTCATGGACAAAGCTGCACTGCCCCCAGGCCAGGGCACCAGAGAAGGGACCAGGCACTCAGCGGCCACCTCCACACCTGCCAGTCCCCGGCGGGAAGGCGTCGCCAGGACAGTCGCCAGGAAACCCGAGGCTGCCACGGAAGTGAAGGGGTCGTCCGTGCATTTCCGGGACACCGCTCGCCTGTCCGCAGACAAGGAACGGCCACGGCTGCCTCAGGTTTGGGGACTGCACACCCCCGCTGTGCAGCAGGGGAGGCTGGGCCGTCCCCCACACAGGAAGGGTCCTCTGCAGATGGCCAGGGGAGAGCCCAGGACGCGTGCACACATCGCTGTGAGGAGCCGCGCCCGCGTGGCCGTGTGCGGGTAGGGAAAGGACAAGGGGCATCGTGCAACCCACGCTCGCCACGTGGCCCCCCACCCCGTCCCGCAGGCTCCAGTGCCCGGGTGCTGCTCCACGGCGCCCACAGTGCTGCCTCTGTGAGCAGCAGGCCGGGCCGGGCCGCAGCCTCCACGCTGGGCGCCCTGCGGGCCGCCTGGCCGGTTCCCTCAGCCCCCGGTCTGAGAAGCCCCCGCAGCCTTTGTGCGGGAGCCATCTGGCAGACGGGGGGGGGGGGGGGGGGCGGCCGATCAGGCAGCTGCTCCTGGAGGAGGGGGCGCGGGTCGGGGTACGGGGTGGGGGTGGGGGGTCCAGCAGTCAGGAATGCCCAGTGCCCTGCCCCCGCCGTGAACTGTGGCACTGTGGCGGGACTCTCCCCTTCACCGCGGTGACAGCCAACAGGTGGCGGTGGTGGCGGGGTGGGGACTGCGCCTTGCCGGTTCATCCGCTCTTCCCCCCTCACGACCACCAGCAGGTGCAACCGACGGGCGCTGAGTGTGGCCGTGGCGCGGCCCTGGGCCACCTGCTGGTGCAGATGAGGGCCTCGTGCGGGGATGTGTCGGGGTGGTGCTGCTTTTGCCGGGCAGTGAGTGGTCCCAGCAGCTCAATCCGTGGGTGTGGAGGCCTGAGGTCCCTGGGCGGGGCCCCGCAGCTCCGCCCACCCGCAGGCTCCGGCTCTGCCTGTCTGTTTGCAGGACTCTAGGAGCTGGTTTTGCAGTAGGAAATGACAGTGACAACCTCTACATTCCCGAGACAGTAGCTCGCCGACGTGGTTAACCCACCAGCAGCTAGCAACTGCTTTTTCTCAGACATCAGTGGTTTTAATTTTGCAGCTCATGGCTTTTTAATTTGACGTAAGGGACGTCTGCCAAGCTCTGCAGTAAATAAACAAGCACGCGGCTTCAGAGCTGCGTCCCCTCTCGGACCGGTCCTTTGGCCACGTGAGCAGCGCGCATCTCCTCCTCTGCTGCTGGGCTCCGTGTGCGACCTCAGCCTGAGCCCCTGGGCCTTCAACCAGTGCACAGCAGCCTCGCTGGGCGCCGCCGTCTGCAGGGCCTTCATCCAGCGCACAGCAGCCTCGCTGGGCGCCGCCGTCTGCAGGACCGAGCCCCGGGACGCGGCCTGCAGGCCCCCTGCTCTGGGCCTCGCCGTCCCTGTCTGTGAAATGGAGCGGCCACGGGAGGGCAGTGCTGAGCCGCGCTGCTGGGCTCTGGGCGCTGAGGGGAGCAAGCGGAGGCTCTGGCCCAAGCTCTGGACCCAGTGGGGCCCTGACTCCCCTGGAAGGCGCCTGGGGACTGGGAGTGCACTCCTAAACCTGGTGACTGCACTGGGAAAATGGCTGCTCTCAGCCATGGGACACTGGGTCTGTCAGTCACTGCCATAGGGGCAGGACACTGGGTGTCTGTCAGTCACTGCCATAGGGGCGGGACACTGGGTCTGTCAGTCACTGCCATAGGGGCGGGATGCGGGTGTCCGTCAGTCACTGCCATAGGGGCGAGATGCGGGTGTCTGTCAGTCACTGCCATAGGGGCGGGACACTGGGTCTGTCAGTCACTGCCATAGGGACGGGATGCGGGTGTCTGTCAGTCACTGCCATGGGGGCGGGACACTGGGTGTCACCCTGCCATGGGGGCGGGACACTGGGTGTCTGTCACTCCGGGATAGGGGCGGGACGTTTTTCCAAGCTGGCGTTCTGAAAGGACAGCTGGGACCTGGGACCCATCTCCAGGACCTGACCAAGGACAGGCGTGGCTGAAGTGACTGGACCAAGCGCGGTGGGTCATGTTCTGAGCGCCACAGCGCCGCCGCAGTGAGCCGCCCAGCGGGGCGAGGTAGGAAAGTCAGGTAAGAAGGACCCCGGCCCCAGAGCCGACTCCCTGCCCTCCGTCAGGTAAGATGGCGTTGACGTCATCGGCTCTGTGACTGGTTTTCCAGAATCTCAGCATGTAGTAACACAGAACACCAGTAGGGCCCAGCGTGGACTCCGCTGGCCCCACGTGGCCAGGGGCCAGGCCTCCCGGGATGGGTCGGCGCTCTAGCAAGGGGCCACGCCGCTGTGGGCGCTGTCCGTGGCTAGGGGCCGGGTTAGGGCGTGCGGGTGACGGTCGCGTGCCGGCTCTCGTCTGCTACCAACTGCCGCGTGCGGCTAGGGGGCCAGAGGCCCGGCTCCCACTGCCCTGGGGCAGCCCTGCACGTCTGTGCGTCTTGTCTCGTGACTTGACCTTCCTCTAGGAGACGAAAGCGTGTGTGGGGCGAGAACCTGAGGCTCGCGGGCCTTGCACGCCACCCCTCACCCCCTCCCCAGACCCTGACACTCCAGAGTGCAGAGCAGGAGGTGACAGACACAGGGCCGGCGGGCAGGTCCGGAGCAGGGACTCGCCGTGCGCCTGCATGGCCATCGTGGCGGCTGGCTCCGGGAGTTCAGACTCCTGCGGAACACAGCGCAGAGCCACACCGCTTCTGGTCTGCAGCCACAGCTTCCCAGGCGCCAGTGAGCTCCTGAGACAGGAGGGCGCCGCCTGTCTGTCTCCTTTAAGGCAAAGCCAAGTGCAGAGGACGCTGCCCACGGGAGCCCTGCCCGTGCTCATCACGCCCTGCCCACGGTGTGGGGGGAGCCCATCCCCCGTTACTACCCGCAGGCCTAAGAGCCCTCACCTGTCTCTGAGCCTAGAGAGATCGGGGACCGGGTAGAGACCTGGTTCTCAAGCGAGCAGGGGCGCGGCTAGATGCCATGTGCGCGGGGAGGAGTTAGTGCGGGTTTCGGGGAAACTGAGTCCTGTTTCACAAAGCAGTGCCGGGCAACGGGCTAGTGGCAAAGGCAATGGATGTGAAGACGAACGCGATGGTTGCCTTCCCGCGGCTTCTCAAGTGGTGCTTTACTGCCCGTCCAGAAGTCCTTGTTTCGCTGCGGTTTTAGTAATTGTGATGCAGACTGGACTGATAGAGAGGAGGCCCCTGACGTGCTGTGGGGAAAGGAGAGGTGAAGAGCGTGCACGCGGCCACTTGGGTGTTGGTGCATAAAGCCAGGCTAAAGACGTGCGCGTCACAGTGTGGGCCGCGGCTCCCCTGAGGGCCGTCCCTCTCGCCACCACGGCTGCCACCTTACTGGATTACTCTGTTTCTAGTGCCTTCCTAAACGGTGTGGAACTGTCATTTTAGAAATCGCAGTTTTCCCAACCTTCCCTTCTCCCAGACTCGCCGCTCCAAGTAGACAGCGCCGTGGCTGCAAGGCCTCGCCCCACCTACGGGACCCCGGGCCAGCGTGGCCCCCGCCCCCGCCTCCTCTGGTTTCTGACTCCTCCTCGCCTGGGCTGTCGCTCACTCTGCCTGCAGCCCACTCCCGGCTTACAGAGCCGCTGACCCGACTTGTTCTGTGTGTCCCCGCAGCCTGAGCCACGGATCTCTGCAGGCAGCTGGGAAACGGAGCGGTGTGGGCTCAGAGCTAGTGAGCGCCGTGGTGAAGCCCTTCATCCCAGCTCACCACACGCACGTCCCAGAGCAAGCAAACAAAAGGCTCTTTTCCCCTAGAGAGCCTGCGTTCAGCTGGCCACCTCCTGGGTGACCGACCCCTCCCGGGGGCCCCACCTGTCACAGTGACCGACCCCTCCCGGGGGGCCCCACCTGTCACAGTGACCGACCCCTCCCGGGGGGTCCCACCTGTCACAGTGACCGACCCCTCCCGGGGGGCCCCACCTGTCACAGTGACCGACCCCTCCCGGGGGGTCCCACCTGTCACAGTGACCGACCCCTCCCGGGGGGCCCCACCTATCACAGTGACCGACCCCTCCCGGGGGACCCCACCTGTCACAGTGACCGACCCTTCCCGGGGGCCCCACCTATCACAGGTGACCCGGGCAGAGGCTCAGGTTCCAGACAGGACGGAGGGGAGGAAGCAAGGCCACATGGCCGGCCCACTCGCATTCTCAGCAAGGACGGCTGTGTGCAGGCCCCCCCACCAGCAACTGTGCAGTGGCCTGGAGCTCCCCTGGGCCGTGAGAGGCCCCCTAACCCCCTCCCTCCCCCTCTAGTTTCTCTCCCCGCATGGGAAATGACAAACCTTGTTTCTAGAAGGCTTGAGCATATTAACACCCATTTCCCATAAACCAAACACAGGCCTTTAAAATGAGCTGCCATCTCCCTCTGATGCACCTGCTGTGTCTCCCGGGCACGTCCCCCAGACTGGACCAAGCGGCCCTTGTGCTGCACAGTGAGCAGGGTAAGGTGAGGCCTGGCCAGCAGGAGGCGCTGGGGGCCAACAGGGAAGGCGCAAAGGTTGGGACCCAGAAGACACGCGGCTTCTCCCGCCCAGTGCTTCTGCCCGAACCGCGAGCATGGAGGAGGGCCAGACGGGGAGCCCTGCCCTGGGCTGCCTCCAAGGTGGCGGGAGTGGGCTGATGCTGTGTGCTGGTGCTCGTTTGGGGAGTGAAGGGACTCGCCACAGCCTCCCTGCAGGCGTGAGGGACGGGAGTCGGCAGCTGGGCGTCCCGAGCACACAGGAGCATCCCAGCCAGGCCAGATCAGCGCCCCCCGGAGGCGGCTGGGTCCCTCAAACAGGCACGACCTGCACACCTGGCAACAGGTGCACAGATAAACAAAGTAGGGCCCAGATGGGAAGCTGCTATCATTGAACCTCAGACAGGAAGGATTTCCGACACACGCCACAGCGTGCATGAGCCATGAGGTCTGGGCCCCAGACGGCACACACTGAATCCCTTGCGTGAGTTTGCTTGAGCTGTCAACCTCATAGCAATGGAGAGAAGAGCAGGCAGGGGGTTAGTCAAGTCAGGATGCCCGCGTCCCACCTGGACAGACCAGACTTCCTCTGCAGATTACAGTCGGAAGAGTCAGGCAGAGATAGAAGGCGTCCAGCAGTCCGGGTCTGCCCACGGAGTGACAGGCCGTGTTACCCGGCCGCTCCATCTGATAAACTAACCTGTGGTACAACGGGCCTGCTTTTGGTGTACGGCTCCGTGGGTTTTCACACAGGAGCAGGTTTGTGTAGCTACACCGTGAGGACGCATCACCCCCAACACCTGCCTGCCGCTCCCCTGAGTCCGCCCCCTCCCCACCTGGTCTCCGTCACTGCGGTCCAGTCTTCCAAAGGATGCCACGTACGGGTCAGCCGGAGGCCCCTGGAACGTGAGTGTTACCAAAAAGCCGAGTATGGGTTTCCAAACATTCTGTCCCAGAATAAACATCCTTTACTTCCATTTTTCTGACGTACCTGAGATAAGTGGGGTCACACGGTGTGATGTTTGGGGCTTCTCACCCCTCGGGATGTCTCTGAGGCCTTCCTGTTCCTGTGCGGGAGCAGCGTCCAGCGTGTCCATTTTTTCCTGATTGCTCAGGCTCAGGGTCAGAGCTCGGGCCATGAAGATTTTTTCCTGTGTTTTCTCCCTAAAATTTCACGGTTTTACTTTGTTGATGGAGACTGAGGATCGATGGCGAGTTAACTTCTTAAAGGAGGCATGAATTTGGGAGGAGGTTTATATTTTTTGTATATGGACATCCAACGGTGCCAACGTCATCTTTTAAAAACGACCCATTTTCCACGGCATGTCTGTGCACCTGCACCTGAATTTGCTGCTCTGTCTGTGGGCGCATCTCTGGGCTCTGTTCTGTCCCTGCGGACTTTGTCCCTGTTCCCCCCAGCACCACGGCTACACAGCAAATCCTCTTCCTTCTTCCTCAGAGTTGTTTGGCTGTTTTGGTTCCTTTGCATTTCCGGATGGTTTTAGGATCCCTTTAACCTTAAACAAAATCCTGACGGCAATGACACTGAATCTGGGGTCAGCTGACTTGGCCGCGTCCGACCTCCCAGTCCACGCACCCAGTCTGTCTCCATCTACGTCTTCCTGATTCCTCTTCTAATTTTTAGTGTAAATATGTTCTACGTGCTTGGTCTGATTTATAGCTAACATTTTGTGTTTTTAATGCTATTACGTAGACTTTTTCATTTTGGGAATACATAATTGTTCATTGCTACGACATAGAAATATAATTGTCTAAATGTCCTTTTAGCAAAAGGTCGCTACAACTGTAATGGAATAAGTACCACCGTAGCCACAAGGCTACCTCCAGTTATCTGTGCCACTGACAATTTATAGCCAAAGAACCCCGGTCAAAGCCCAGGTTCAGCAGGTCATCGGTGTCCCTCGCAGCAAAATCTGTATTATTCCAGTCTAACTGTTCTATGTAGTTACAGCTATTGGTTTTTTTTAAAGATTTACTTGTTTATTTGAAAGGTAGAGTTACAGAGAGGCAGATGCAGAGAGACAGAGACAGAGACAGAGAGAGAGAGAGAGAGAGAGAGAGAGAGTCTTCCATCCACTGGTTCACTCCCCAAATAACAGCAATGGCTGGAGCTGGGCTGACCTGAAGCCAGGAGCCAGGAGCTTCCTCCAGGTCTCCCACGTGGGTGCAGGGGCCCAAGGACTTGGGCCATCCTCTGCTGCTTTCCCAGGCCACAGCAGAGAGCTGGATCGGAAGTGGAGCAGCCAGGACTTGAACTGGTGCCCATATGGGATGCCGGCGCTGCAGGCCAGGGCTTTACCCTGCTGCACCACAGCACCAGCCTCCTAGTTACAACATATTCTAACTGGTCCTTTATTGAAAATCTAAGCTGTCTACATGTCAGCTCAGCAAGCTGTTGATGCTTACTGTATACATAGGTTTGTGTGGAGGGCAGTTCTGACCCCTGACCTTGCAGCTCTGAGAGCTACAGTGCAACCTGCCGCTTCGTGTGTGCTTTAAATACTTCAAAGTCTGGTGAGCAATATACTCGCTATAGAAGTAACTGACAAAATCTGTAACTTTCCTTGTTGGCGTCAAAGCAGGGGTGCACAATTCACACATGAGACATTGAGTCTCTTACAGCGGAAGTAGTTTGAACAAGAGGCCGTGCGCTGTAACTGGGCACTCATTTCTTTACAAGCCTCTGTATTAAGCTTAGGAGGGCAGGGCAGGAATGCAGAGGCACGGGTGGGGCTGGGTGCACAGGGCCTCCGGGGGGGGGGGGGGGCAGCCGGGACGGAGAAGGACCAGAGCCTCGCGGCCCTTCCCTGCTGCTTCTCTGTCAGGAAGCCCCACCGGCGGCTGCATTTCTGCTAGGTCCTCCCTCCTGGGGTGGGGTCCCCCCGCGCCTGCCCAGGGGTGGCCGGGCTGTGGGGAGCACGGCGGGGAGGGGCCTCCGCCTGCGGAATGCTGCCGTCCCGTGGGAACAGCACAGCCGTCCACGCGGGAAAGCCGCGCTGAGCGGTGACACGTGAGGTCCCAGTTATTGAGAAACGCAGGAAGGAAAGCCAGTTCTTCCACCGGCGGCACACGAAGAACACGGGCAGCACTTGTGCCTGCGGCTTTCGCCTCATTCACGGAAGGTGGCCCCTTGGTGCCGGCGTGCGGTCAGATGTGGCTGAGGCCGTGCGAGCCATCGCAGGGCTCCAGGTGACCAGTGCTCCCGAGGCCCACAGTGCAGGACAGACAGTGGAGGCCACGAGGCGTGTCCCAGGTGCCGCAGCCCTGTGCAGGGCTTCGAGCAGAGGCTGGGTAGGGGAAGGCACTGCCGATGTGTGGGGGACCCCCGGTGGCCAAGCTCCAGGCAGACCCACGGGCCGGAGCTGACATGGCGCGTGGCACAGCCGGCAGTGGAAGCCACGGGAGAACGTTTCCAGCGCACTCAGGTGGCGGGTCCCACGGTCCCAGGACTCTAAGGGGCCGGGAACAACCACGCCTGCAGCCAGGAGTGGCTGGGAGGCCCCCGGGGACGCCTGGGCTGTGTCTCTGGCTGAGGCCGCAATGATTCTGGGAAGCCGGCAGCTTGCAGTCTGTCACCAGCTGTTGGGGAGGGGCTGAAGGGGCCTTGCGCCCCGCGTGCGGGCGTAGGTGGAGTAGGAGTCGGGTGGCATCGGGTCTGTCTGCTGCGTGGAGCCGCCCCGCGCTGTCGCTGAATGCTGACGTGTACTGGCGTGCGAATGCGTGCGGGGGGACGCCGGGCCCCTGCAGCCCCTGCAGCCCCCACACGGTCCCCGCCGCGGGCTCGGCCTGGGCTTCGCGCGGCTCTCCACGCGGCTCTCCACGCGGCCCGGAAGGCCGGGTTCATCCCGTCTCCTGTTTCCCTGATGACTTGTGCTTCGAAGGCCCTGCACGTGCGCACCCTTCTCCACGGGAACACGGCTGGAGGGGCCTGTCCTCCAACGCGGGGCGGTGGGGCAGCTGCGGGGAGAGGCTGCCACTGCCCTGGCCTCCCCGGGCTGGCAGCGCCCCGCCTCTGCCCCCTGGCCCTCCGCTCTGCTATCCGGTGCCCTGGAAAGTTCTGCTGATGGTCGCACTCAGGGCCGTGCTCCCCCCCCCCCCGGCTTACTCTGGATGCGGCCGTGATGACCCCCCCGTGGCTGACCCGGGGCCACAGGCAGGTGCTCACGTGACATGCAACCACCTGTCACGGTTGATTTGTGTGACTCCTGCGTGTTTTCCTTTGGGAAATAATATTCTTTTCTCAATGCTGGGCTTAACCTACCCCCCTCTTGGCTGGAATCGCCATTATACAACCTTTAAGTCCCCTCTGCTAGTCTGTGGCTCCAGGAGAACCACACCGTGCAGCCGCAGTGACCAAAGCCTACTGCCAAGCCCACAGCACACAGCCTCCACTGTGCCTTACCATGTGTCAGCAGCAGCCTGGCGTAAACCCTGGGTCGACAAAGCCACAGCCCAGAGCCGCCAGAGAGCTGCCTTCAGGACGGCACGCAGGGCCCGGGGACTTGTCCTGAGGTCGTGCGTCTCTGTCTTTCAGGACCACGCGGCCAGAACTACCCACTATGGCTCCCTGCCCCAGAAGTCGCACGGCCGGCCACAAGATGAAAACCCTGTAGTCCACTTCTTCAAGAACATTGTAAGTGGTGGTGTGTGGGGGAGAGTGGACGCTGAGCAGGGCGGAGGGCGGATGCTCGCCCCACGGGGTGGAGTGGACACTGAGCGGGGTGGAGGGCGATGCTCGCCCCACGGGGGAGAGTGGACACTGAGTGGGGCGGAGGGCGATGCTCGCCCCACGGGGGAGAGTGGACACTGAGTGGGGCGGAGGGCGATGCTCGCCCCACGGGGGAGAGTGGACACTGAGTGGGGCGGAGGGCGATGCTTGCCCCACGGGGTGTGAGTCCATCCGAGAAGACCCCATGGCCATCCTCAGGGCTGCTGGCCAGGTAAACACAACCCTATTGCCTGACCCCAGGTCCCAGTCCTGTACTTCCGAAATGCACCTGTCACTTACCGCACTGCGTGTTCTAGCAGGACAGACTGCCGTGCTGCACTGGTTTAAGATCATGGGGACAGTGAGAAGAGTGGTGGTCCCCAGGGTCAGGGGGCGGAGGGTGGCCTGGGGAGCACTGGCTATGATCCTACAGTGGTGGATGTGGGCCGAATATTCGTCTGTACCCATAGCCCACACAACACAGAGCCCAAGTGTGAACTCTGGATTTTAGTTAATGATCATCATGTGGAATGAACATTTGTCATCAGCCGTCACGAGTGAGAAGATGAGTAAGAGCCACTAACTCCAGGGGAGCTGGTCAGGCTCTATGGGGGCCCCCTCATTTCTGCGGTTTTCCCTGCAAGTCTACACTGCTGCGCAAAATCAAGTCTGTTACAAGACGAAGCTGCAGCTTCCAACTCTGAGGTCTTGGTGCAGCAGATAACACTGTGTTAATGAGTGAGTTGAGGAGCGTTTCCTCTGGTGTCGCGGCTACAGAAAGGGCTCACGGGACCGTGGTGGGCCCAGGGGCTCCCTGCACGGCGCGCCGCCTCCCACACGTGTCCCCAGCACCGTGCGCTCGGCACCGTCTGTGTCACCCCGAGATTTCAGCGTCTCAGCTCCTCAGGTCTTGTTCCATGATGACAGAGTGGGAGCTGTGTAGAAGGTGGGGCGTCCTTTACCATGTAGGTCTGAGCCTCCCATGTACACACGAGCTGCCGGGACCCTCCAGGAGGGGGCCGGGGCTGCTGGGAGGGAGGGCCTCCCACAGCCCACCTTTCCCTGTGTGTCTTCCAGGTGACGCCCCGCACACCCCCTCCGTCTCAAGGAAAGGTGAGTGGTTTCAGTCTGGATTCATCATCACCTTATGGATAGACCTTCCCCAAATCCCAAAATGTACCAAAAAGGAGTCGGACTCAAGACAAGCTGAGTTCCCCCACGCCACGCGGCTGGAACAGCCCGGCACACATGGCATGACCCTTCCCACAGCCGTGCAGACAGTATTAATCTACCCCGGAACGCTTTCCCCCAAGCCTTGATCCCACAGCCGTCACAGGAAGCTCTGGGCGGCCCCTGCCGCTGCTGGGGAGGGCCCGGTGGAACCGGGCTGCGGCCTCGGCACTAGGCCGACTGTTCTTGTGTATGAAAACGGCCTCCGCCTCACTGACCGCCCTGTCCCTCTCTCTTCCTCACACAGGGGAGAGGAACCGTCCTCAGCCGGTTTAGCTGGGTAGGTGACGCGCACTTCCGCTCTGCCGCTCCCTTTGCAGCCCGCACAGCCACCTGACTTTTACTTCCTGCTGTTTCAGTTGCTTAGCCGTCCCACCTTTCTCCCCTGTTCACACAGCTCGCCCACGCCGGCAGTGGGTTGCTTTCGTCATGAAACGGCCCTTCCCTTCCAGCTTGTTAAACTCTCGCTCCAGGCGCTGGACCCAGCACTACCCCCACTGCCTCCTCGCCCACAGTGTTCCTGGCAGAATCAGCCGGTCTCCCTCCCACGGGAGGAGCCACACCGTGTCTGAGAAACTGTCCAGACAGAAACAGATAGGTAGTCCCAGACAACGGAGGGCAGCCCTGGGGCGGCCCAGTCCACCGCAGCCACCGCATGTTGAAGTTCTGTTCAGGAAAATGAGGCTGCCACAAAGGGAAGACGTGCCAAGTCCAGTTACCCGATTTATAACAACATCCATGATCCTAAGAGGTGCCAAGTCCAGCTGTTCCATTTTAACGGTGTCATCGATCCTAAGGGCGTTGGCTTTGTTTGCATTTAATAATAACCAAAACTTAGCTATTAAGTCATCTAGGGACACTTTCTTGGAAACTTTAGGCTCTACAATATTGAGAACAGAGTTTCATGAGGATTTTCTTTCTTTCAAGATTTATGTCTCTGAAGGGCAGAGCTGGGATGGGGTGGAGAGTCAGAGACAGACAGAGATTTTCTGTTTTCTCATTTACTCTCCAAATGGTCAGAGTGGCTGGGGCTGGGCCAGGCCGGAGCCAGGGGCCTAGAACTATCTGGGACTTGGACGACTTTCCGCTGCTTTCCTAGGTGCATTAGCAGGGAGCTGGATGGAAAGTAGAGCAGCGAGGATTTGAACCGGTGCTCCTACGGGACGCTGCTGGGGCTTAACCTGTTACACCACAGAGCCGGCCCCCAGTGAGGATTTTAAATGGCTAATTTGTCCACTTCCAGATGCTGGTGAATTTGACGCTTGTGCCAATGTAAAATGCCTACCCACATATCCTAACCAAGCTTCTTGGCTTAAGCCAGTCTTAGATATGGTCCTTGCTTTCTAAAAATCATAATTTTCAGAATAAAATAGAGGAGTAACCACCAATTTATGGGGTAAGGATCATGTCTCATTTGGGAATTACAGAGGCTGCCAGGGAACGAGCTTTGAATAAATTGATGAAGGGATTTTAAAAGAAAGATGGCGGAGAAAGAACAGGGGAAAGGAGAGGGGGGGGGGACTCGAGGGGCAGGCAGCGGAGGATCCAGAAAGCTCTGGGTGGCTCCAGCTCAGCACTGGTTGACTCGGGAGGGAAGACGCTTGCGGGCACATCCTCCCTAAGTGTGTGTTGGGCCTGCTTTGTCTGAGTTAATGCATTTGCCACAGGAAGCCTGCCCACGGACTAGCACTCACAGCCAATCAACTGCGCATTTTCTGTGGCAGCAGGAGGCACAGGTGACAGTGCAGAATACACGTCTGACCCAGGAGTGTGCTTCCAGCCCCCGCATTGCCTGCTTCCCCCATCTAGGAACCCGCTTTGGGCATTACGCTGCGGACTGCAGATGGGCGAGGGGACCCTCCTCCCACTCAGAGGTCACTCCGACCCACTGGCCAACAAGGACGATCTTTGATTCTCTGTGCCTCTCTCCATGTCGGGTCCGACCACTATCTGTGCGGTTCTTTCTCCCAAAGCGGAACCCTCTGCACTCCGTTTGCTCGCTTGCCTGTTTTCTGGAGCTAGGACGGTCTCCTTGCTTGTCGTTTCAAAGTTCCCGCTTTCTTTTTTTAAACTGTGTTGAATGCTTCCTGGTGAATTCTAGGTTGTCTTAAGATAAAACTAACCAAGAACTTGGAAAGAGGAAAAGCCCATCCTTGAACTTAGTTTTTGGAAGCTCCTCCTGGGGGGGGGGGGGAGGGGAGACCAGTGGAGTAAGACCCAGGGGCTCTGCATTCCTAAGGGGAAGTGGGGCTTTCTGCCGCCGAGTGGTCGTCCGCCTGGCGTAGCCCCCCAGCCGTTACTCACCCCTCTGTGCACCAACGGACACAGAGTGGCCGTGAGGACCTCTGGGATGCCGGGGTAGCACTGGCGTTCCTCTAGTTTGTGGTGCTTAGCCAGTCTGCCTCGCAACCCTCACCCCTTCCCCCCTTGCTAAGCATGGAATCCCGGTGTTCACATGGACATCGCCACCTGGGTTCCACGTGGCCAGCATCTGCTCCCCAGCACAGGTCGCATGAAGAGGTGATGGCAGAGGAGGCTTCTGTGGGGGGAGGTCCCTGCGGCCAGCCCCGGCCCTGCCCAACCAGCGGGGCGGCCCTGAGGAGCCTGGACGCTCCAGATCGCACCTGCACCGCCGCCAAGACGAGGGGCAGGGGACAATCCCAGGCCCTTCCTGTCCCCAAACTGTGCAATCGGAAAGGCCGGGCTGACAGCCCACGGTCTTGGCCGGATCCTCAGGAGAGAACTCAGTGAGTCTCCAAAGCAGAGAGCGAGATCCGGGGCCCCAGGCTTCGGCAGGAGTCCGTGAGCGAGCTGAGGTCCTTTCCCGAAAGCCCGAGCCGCCTGCTTCACCTCAGTCCCTGGACGGCGAGCCCACGGCGGGGGACTCGGCCCCGTGCTCAGGCCGGGAGTTCGTCCTGCGGTAGGGCAAGTTCCCGTGGGAAAACAAGTGCGCGAGAGGACAGAACGGCCCTGGACGCAGACACTCTGGGATTTTGGTAACCGCTCATCACTGTGACCCCCACAAGGGGACTTGGCCCCTGCCCTGAAGTGAGAGAAGGGCTGTGGGGCGGGGCCCTTCCTGCCTGGAGTCACCTCCGTGGTAATGGCCGGAGAGCAGGACCAGGGCTACAGGCTCTGGCCTGGGAGCAGCACCCCTCCATGCACCTGTCCCCACGACAGCCGTTCTGTCGACGAGGAGACAAGCCGAGAGGTTCCGTTGTCGCCAGCACGCAGCTGCCCCGTGCACAGCTGTGGCCCTGCCTCCCTGCCCCCAGCAGCAGCCCCGGACTCCTGGCAGGGCTCCTGGCCCAGGTCAGGTTGATGCTGGTCAGCTCTGGGGAAGGTTCCTCTAGCCTCAGCATCTCGGCCCGTCCAGGGCCCTGGAGCTGGGCAGGGGTGAGTGGGATCCCACGGGTCACCCAGAGGCGGTGGTGCTTCCAGCACCCCGTGCACACACCAGACCCCCAGGACCCCTCCCTGGACAGGTGCAGGCAGGCGTGCACAGCCGTCTCGGGAGAAGCCCAGGCCGGGGGCAGCACCTGCTCCACACACGATTCTGGTGGTCACAGTGAGCACTGGGCCGCAGCCCCTGAGAGCAAGGGGCTAGCTGGTTGCCGGCTCTGCAGTGTGGACCAAGGCTCCTGAGGCTGACTCGGGTCTCGTCTTGCAGGGTGCCGAGGGCCAGAAGCCCGGGTTCGGCTATGGAGGCAGAGCAGCTGACTACAAATCGGCCCACAAGGGCCTCAAGGGCGCAGACGCCCAGGGCACACTCTCCAGGCTCTTCAAGCTGGTAAGGACCCCGTGGGAGGGGTGGGAGGAGTGGAGGAGGGCCGGCCAGGGCAGCCTTGGGGCTCCTGTGTGTGAAACGGTGGCCGACCCAGCTGACAGGTTGTGGCGAAAGTCCAGGCGGTGAGGCTGGGCCTCCCGGAGCCCAGCAGGCATGGCCTCAGCTCACCTGTGGGAACTGCACAGGTGCACAGGGGCCCGACCCTCGTTCAGGGCAGAGCGTGAGAGGTCAGGCCCAGAGACTCCAGCTTGGGCACTTTCCAAACGGGTCTGAGAACAGCTCCCCCTTGGGGGTTCAGGGTAGGCCCATGCGCCTCGCAGGGTGGGCTATGCGGTGCAGCGGGCAAAGGCGGGCCGTGGGCTGGCCGTTCCTTTGCTTAGAACAGGATCAGCTACAGACACCTTCAGAGAAATGCTAAGAGGAACCTTCCAGAGAAAAAGGGAGGGCCGGCGTGGCCCAGCAGGCTGAGAGGTGCAGACCCCGTGTGCACGGTGCAAGTCGGGCTGGTGCCGGGGGGCGGCACAGACCCCGTGTGCACGGTGTAAGATGGGCTGGCACTGGGGGAGGGCACAGACCCCGTGTGCACGGTGCAAGTTGGGCTGGTGCGGGGAGGGGGGGCGGCACAGACCCCGTGTGCACAGTGCAAGTCGGGCTGGTGCCGGGGGGAGGCACAGACCCTGTGCGCCCACACAGCTCTGCCCAGCTCGCCTCAGACAGGTCTTGAGTGTCTCTCTTAAATGCTTCTCAGGCTTTTTTTTTGGTGGGGGGCAGTCCAGGCTTTCGTCCTGAGCCCAGCGTCCTGCTCTCTGGGAGGAAGCCTGTGCCACCAGGACCCTGCCTCCTGGGAGGCCACAAGGGCAGGTCCCAGGCCCCTGCAGCTTTGAAAAGATGGGTCAGGACTGTGCAGTGCATGGGGGGGCCACCCTGGAGACAGGAGCACGCGTTGACAGCCAGGCAGGCTGCTCCATCTCTGTCAGGCCCTAACTCAGTTCTGCGTGAACTCCAGGGGTAGAGAAGGGCCCTTTTCATGGCTGTGCAGGTGCAGGAACTCCCAAGGCCCTACTGGGCTCGCCGGCCCTGGCGCACAAGGAGGTCCCTGGAAGGCAGAGGCCCAGGCCGGGGAAGGGACAAGCGAAGGCAGTGGCCAGGCTGTTTGTTCTGGGCGAGGGCTGTGAGTCTCAGCCAGTCCTGCAGCCTTGCCCGAGTGCAGCTCATGCCACAGGCGGACTCCCTGGGTGTACACCACAGGCGGACTCCCCGGGTGTACACCACAGGCGACTCCCTGGGTGTATACCACAGGCGGACTCCCTGGGTGTACACCACAGGCGGACTCCCTGGGTGGATACCACAGGCAGAGTCCCTAGGTGTACACCACAGACAGGGACTCCCTAGGTCTATACCACAGGCAGACTCCCTGGGTGTACAACACAAGCGGACTCCCTAGGTGTACACCACAGGCGGACTCCCTGGGTGTACACCACAGGCGGACTCCCTAGGTGTACACCACAGGCGGACTCCCTAGGTGGATACCACAGGCAGTTTTGGGTTCGGGGACCCTGAATGAATGACACAGCCAGAAGTGCACAGCCTGGTCAAGGAGCTCATGTCTGGGGTGGGAATGGGGATGGGAGTGAGGAGGAGAAACGCTGTAGGAAGGGCGGCAGGAGGCAGGCAGAGGAGCCACCCTGGTGGTGTGGGCAGAGCTGCCTGTAGCGCCCAGTGGGGTGGCCAGGGAGTACTACACAGGGCCGAGACCTGAGGTCAGCAGCCAGGCGCGCACAGTGGGAAACCCTGGTTCCGGCAGAAGGAACAGAACGGGACAGGGCCCAAGGATCTGTAGAACGAGGCAGCCAGGGAGAGGCCCAGGGGGAGGCCCTGGACCTGCAGAGAGGGGTTAGCCGGAGCAGCGCCCGCCCCCAGGCAGGACACACAGCCCTGGGTCTGAAGGGTAGGGGAGCAGCAGGTTCCAGGGAGCACAATGAGTGTGGCCTGCGGTTCACCCTGACCCCCAACCAGGTGTGCAGCAGAGCCTGGACTTGGGAGTCTCTGGCTGGAAAAGAAGGACAAGGCCCTTGGCAGCTGGCAGCTGAGCCCGGGCCGCAGCGCTGCACAGCGCCCCTGCCCCCAGTCGAGGGCGGCCTTCCCCGGACGCAGGCGGAGGCGCCCTGTGTGTACTTTTCATCCTGAGGCACAGGCAGGTCCCCTGGTAGCTGTCAGGAGTGAGCACTGTCCAGAGTGATGACTCTTGCTGGTTGGAGTAACTCGGGCTCCGCGTCCACCTCCTCTCAGGGACACAATGTGCTCTGTGTCCTTGCCTGATGTGACAGCCACAGTGTCACTGACAAGACACTCTGCTGTCACCTTCTTTCCAACCCAAAGACATGTGACATGGGAGAGAGGCCGACAAAGCAGGAGAATGCATCCATACACAGGACACAAGTCCCAGCACGCCCCCAGCGCCCGCACGAGGGGTTCACGTCTGTCTCCTGGGAGATGGTGGGCGGCCGGTGGAGGAGGCTCCCTGGCTCAGGAGACCTGAGTGTGTCAGTCTGTGCCCCGGCCTCCAGACGCTGCGGCTTCCACGTCTGTATCCCTGGGCCAGCCATGGCCGCACTCGAGGACGAGGGTCAGCTGCCAGGGCGTCACGTCTCAGGCGTCCTCACTGGCAAGGACAAGAGGAGCCTGGCCTTCACTGCCTGTTCTGGAAATAGCCTTTGGTGGTTCGGTGTGAGAGGGGGCGCGGCTGTGCCACCCCGATCTCTCAGCTCCCTACAGGCTCGTTCCCCCACGGCTCTGAGCGCCAGGGGCCTGCGGCAAGGGCTCCATCCTGGTAAAGCGTCAGGAGCAGACGCTCCCTGATCAGATCACGGCTGATGGCAACGCCCCAGCCTGCTTCCAGACGTCAAGGTTTGGCTGTTGGTTTCGGATGAACGGGTCCCAGCAGATGGGACCCTGGGGATGCACGGCTCCTCTGCCCGCATGCCCAGGCTCTGCAGGTACAGGTGAGCTCCCAGAGCCCCAAGGTCAGGACCAGGGAGATCGAGCCCCAGACTCAGCAAGGCCAGCAGAGGGCGGCAGTGAGGACTGGGGGGGGCTCTCAGCAGAGCTGCACTGAGAGCAGCATCCCTGAGCGACCTGGGACCCCGCCACCCCTCCCCCCCCATCTATGCAAGAATCACACTGCCACAGCCACCGACAGACAAGCTCCACTCCCATCTACACACTTGTGTGCAAATAACACACGTGTGTGGGCCCATCGACTATCTTAAATAGCTTCAAAATTTTCCCAGGAAACTTTTAAAAAACTTGTTAAATGTCTGTCTAGTTCAACCGGTGCCTCCAGTTATCAAAGTAAGACAAACCTGAACTCACTGGCTGCCATTACTGGGTCAGGAGTTCACAACTGGCCGCTGCGGCACAGAGCAGTCCCAGTGATTTGTTTTAACCCCCCCCCCCCCCCCGCCCAGGGAAGAGGCGGCTGCGTGGTGACTACTGTCTCTCTGCTGCCATCCCTTCTCCTCACGCTGCGGGAGATCAGGAGGGGAAGGCCCAGGCCTGGTGTCTGCTGTGGGGTCGGCACTGGGGCAGCAGCTCTGAGCGTCTCCTCGCTCTTTGGGACTCACACCAAAACCGGGGCCTCCGGCTCGCCGTGCATCAGAATTCCCCTGGCTGCAGAGAAGTGAGCAGCCTTGGCTGGGGGTTCTCAGCCTCTCCTGTCCCAAGACAGAAGCTGAACCCCGCCTTGAGCTGGCGCGTCCAGTGGTGTCATCACCTGGGTCCAGAGCTGACCAAATGCTTGGCCTCCCCAGTCTGAAGTGGCCGAGAGCACGCCCAGGGTGCGGTGCCAGCCCTGGCACATCGGGGAGCCACCCCCCCGCCGGCCTTTGGCCGTGTGATTATAAAACAAGGAAGGCGAGAAGGCCGCGGGGTCGGCTGAGACGAAAGGTGGGAGAGGTGAAGAGGTTTTGCCCTGGGAGGGATTCAGCAAGGAGCAGGCAGAATAGCAAAGCCAAGCCAGCGTGTCCACCACCTCCACTTCAGCAGGAGGGTCGAGGCCAGCACACGGCCGGTTTCAGGAGCAGGCGGGGAAGCTGCCCTGTGTTCTAGAGCAGCGGCCCACAGCCTTCCAGGAACAGCTCCCAGCGCCCGGCACGCGGCCAGGTCAGGCTGGCGCCGACTGCCCGGCTGCCCCACAGGGCAGCAGCTCTGCTGGCCAGGCGCGCCCAGGGGAGGCGGGGCTCCCGGGGCGGGGCGGGGCGGGGCGGGGGCCGCCGGGCAGGCCCTGCACCCGGCAGGCTGCGTGGAGCTGCTCCAGGTCGAGGAGGAAGCTGCTGTCTGTACGGCGGGCGAAGCCAGACCCCGAGGAGCCCTCCAGACGCCTGGGCGCTCACTGCTGGCTGTGCGACCCTGGCTGCTCAGTGTCCCGGGCTGCGGCGCCAGGGTAACGGGAGGCTGTGCTCAGACGAGGTGGCGGCACAGGGGCGACTGGTGGCGAGCTCGTCGCTCGTTCTCTGGGGCCTCGGTGTGAAAGGAAATCTTCGAGATCCACGTTTCAGCCAGAACTGGGAATCCCGCGGAGGGCGAGCGTTTGGATAAACGTTTGAACCTAACAAAAACACAGTCCTGCGCCTGCCTACTCCCCCGCCACGCCCCTACGCCCCCACCACCTCCCCTGCCACCTCGGGCTCAGCTGTCGGCTCTTCCATTCCCGGGCTGGTGTCCTCAGGCCCCTGTACCACAGGCTGCAGGCAAGTCCTCCGCACGACCACTGCCGCCCTCGCTGGGGCAGAGGGAGGCCAGGGGACGCACACACAGGCAGGAAGATCTCTCCGAGTTCCCTCAGTTCCCCTGGACTTCTTTTTTTTAAAGATTTATTTGAAATTCAGAGTAGAGAGCGAGCTCTCGCATCCACTGGGTCACTCCCCAGATGGTCATAACGGCCGGAGCAGGCTGATCTGCGGCCAGGGGCTCCTGTCCGGGTGAGCGCACTCGGGCCACCTTCCGCTGCCTTCCCAGGCCATCGCCAGGAGCTGGACTGGAAGTGAGGCAGCCGGACTCGAACCAGCGCCCACATAGGGTGTCAGCACTGCAGGCCGTGGCTTTACCTGCCACGCCACAGCGCCGGCCCCTACCCCGCCCCATTTCTGGCGGGGGAACAGCGCTGGTTCAAGGAAGGCGAACACCACAACGGCCAGGCTCTCACCCCAGACCCTGGGTGCTGTGTCCGGCGCCTCGGGGACCCACCTCACAGCCCTGAGGACCCAGGCTGTGCGAGAGGGGAGGGGAGGCGGGGGGGGGGGCAGCCTGCCCAGCAGGGGTGCGACGGGTGGGAGGCTCACTCACGCCCTCTCCGCTTTTCCCAGGGAGGAAGAGACAGTCGCTCCGGGTCGCCCATGGCCAGACGCTGAAGCCCTGCCCCGGCGCTGAACCCCGTCCTCGGCTTCCTAACCTAACCGCCTTCAAACGCTAACAGCGTCCGCACCCCCACCTACTCGAGCAGACCCCGTCCCCTAACCCGGCGAGCGGTGCACGCCCGGGGTCCTGCCGGGGCACCCGTTACCCGAGATGCAGACAGGACCCGGCTGCGCGGTGCCCGGGGCTGGAAGACCGCCTTGCTCCGGCTGCAGGCCCGCGTGCACCCAGCCCCAACCCCCGACCCGCCCAGGCCCCGCCCAGGCCCCGCCCCCAGTCCAGCCCCGCCCCAGCCCCGCCCCCAGCCCCCGACCCGCCCAGCCCCGCCAGCCCCAGCCTAGCCCCCAGCCCCGCCCCCAGCCCAGTCAAGCCCCGCCCAGCCTCGCCCCAGCCCAGCGCAGCCCCGCCCCGCCCCCGCCCCCCCAGCCCAGCCCCGCCCCCAGCCCCCGACCCGCCCAGCCCCGCCAGCCCCAGCCTAGCCCCCAGCCCCGCCCCGCCCCGCCCCGCCCGCCCCGCCCCTGCTTTCGCGAGCACTGCCTGGAGGGCCCCGCTGCGCACGGCAGCGGGCGCGTGGGGAGGACTGTTGCGATCCCGGCTTCCTTTGGTTTCTTCCCCGCCGCCCTCACCCCCGTTGATTTGATTCCCCTAACAGGATTAGACAGTCAGAGTGGCTTACTGCGTGCGGGAGCTTTTGGCAAGTGGATGCGGGCCGGGCAGCTGAGAGAGTCCACGGCGGGGCGCTCCGCAACCCCGACTGGCAGAATTCGTGCGTGGCAGAGGGAGGAGAAGGAGGCAGGCGTGGGCCGCGCGAGGCCCCGGCGGGACGCGGGCGACCCCGCCTCCCGCCCGAGCCCACGGCTCCGGGCAGACTTGCGTTCTCTGGTGGCCGGGCGGCGTGGCGCCGGCCACTCAACACTGGGCGTGACCACAGCTGGACGGACCACGGCAGTGCTCACCGGCTACACTAACCCGACCCGCGGCCCCACAGCCGCCCCCGCCCGCCCTGCGCACGCGCGCCCGCCCGGAGCGGCCGCCCCGGAAGGACAAGCAGCGCTTCCGGGTCGCGTCCCGTAATCCCGCTGACCCTCCCTGGCCGCCGCCGCCCCTAACGCACTGACCCGTCCCTTCGAGTGGGCGTCCGTCGTGCGGGCCCTGCGGAGAGCCCCCGGCGCGACCCTCCCCCAGAACCAGACCGGAAGTAGCCGCCCTAACGCCGCGACGCCCCCGCTAACCGCGAGCTAACCCTGCCCGGTGCGCGCGCGACGGGGTCGCAGCCCCCGTGGGGAGCGGGGCGCACGCCGGCCCGAGCCCCGAGCCCGGCCCGCGCGGCCGGCCGGTGTGGAATAAAGTAATGAGCGTTCACGCGCCGCCTGGGCCTCGTGTTGCGTCCGTGGTGTCGGGCGCGGGGCCCGCGCTGTCTCCCCGGGAGGGCGCCCCCGCCCCAGCCCGCCCCTCCCCACTGAGGGATTTGGGAAGTCCTGCAAGCACAGTCGCATTTACGTTTACTCCGATTTATTTATTCGTGAGGGGAGAGGCGTCTTCGCCCACCGCTCACTCCCCAGGGCTGGAGCAGGCTGGCGCCAGGAGCGTCTTCCTGGTCTCCCACGTGGGCGCAGGGCCCCAAGCACTTGGGCCGCCTTCCGCTGCCGCCCCGCGCACGTTAGCAGAGAGCTGGCTGGGGAGGAGCAGCCGGGACTCGAACCGGCGTCCCTGTGGGATGCTGGTGCTGCAGGCCCAACAGTCGTGCACTCCGGAGTCTGCGGGGCCACGTCGGTGTCACACGCGGGGGAAGCCGAGGCTGTTTCCTATTCCTGCGTGACCATGTAAATGAGAGAAAAAGCGAAGAGGCGCACCGGGGCTGTCCCCACTGAACACCGACTGCCCCTGAAGACGCTGGCAGTTCCTGTCCTGCTCTCGCGGCGCTGGCTGGGCACGGCGGGCAGCCCGAGGGGCGCTGAGCGGGCATCCTGGAACCGAGACCCTGCCCCGCGCTGTCCCCGGCCACCTGCAGCCCCTGCGCTGCCCCTCCCCGCTCCGGCCTGTCAGGAGCCTCGAGGGGGCCTGAGGCGCCTGGCGCAGCGGGCGGGGGCTCTGGACAGGGCCCGGGTGGGGGCGGGCATGGCGGGGCAGGGGGCTGGCTCCCCGGGTAGAGGAGGTCCCTCTGCGGGAAGAACCGTCCTCCTGGGCTGGGCATGGCTGCAGGTGGGGCAGGGGAGTTCTCCGCAAGCCCCCGCTTCCCAGGCTTTGGGAATCCGCCCGGCACACAGAGCCCCCAGGCTGGGGGCGGAGCGGCAGCAGGTGGAGCCCCTGGCAGCCGCGTTGGTTCCTGGCCAGGCGGCCGTCTCGCGGTGTCCCCAGGAGCAGCCGGAGCTCCGGACCCAGCCAGGGCCCTGCCCAGTCTCCAGCAGCCCCAGGGCCCCGCCTGAGCCCAGGGAGGTGCGGGCCCTGCAGTCCCCCCTCTCCGCCACCCGGGAGTGACCGCAGCAGCACCCGGCAAGCGCCCAGAACTCGCTCACCCAAGACCCCAGAGCACCTGGCGTCCGTCCACCCTGTGAGGCAGCTGCCCGGCCCAGCCAGGCCTCGACCCTCCACGCCCGGCTCCAGCTTCCAATCTACATCAGCATGGAGACCGGAGGACAGGCAGAGGACGGGCGGCAGGTCCCCTGACAACACCCACGGGGGCTCCTGGTCTCCCTTCAGCTGTGTTGACCGGGGAGAGGACTCTCGGTCCCTCCTGGGGGACGGCGGGGATGGCCAGGGCTCGGGGGACCCAGGCAGGAGCGCTGAGACTGACAGGGGGACCGGCAAATTAGCAGACTGCAGAGGGCAGGCTCTGAGCGGCTCACCGCTGGGCAGGGATGCAGCTGCCCACAGATGGGGTGGGGCTGGGGAGGAGCCCCCACTGGTTGGATTGAGGGCATCAGTGGGATCCCAAGGCTCCATATGTAGGTGGAGACAGAGATGGACGTGTGGGCACACGTGTGAGGCAGCACACAATGCATGCGTGCAGGTTTCCCCAGCTCTGGCTCCTTGTTTTATTTAAGAATTATTTATTTGAAAGGCAGAGAGAGAGAGAGAGAGAGTCAGAGTCTTCCACCCACTGGTTCACTCCCCAATGGCTGCAATCATGGGAGCTGGGAAGATCTGAAGCCAGGAGCCAGGAGCTGCTTCTGGGTCTCCCAAGTGGGCGCGGGGCCCCGGGATAGAGCCGCTGGGACTCCAAACAGCGCCCACACGGGGTGCCGGCACTGCAGGCGGCGGCTTTACCCGCCCGCCACGGCGCTGGCCCCTGCTGTAGTTTTGCAAACCCCACTCTCCACCAGAGGGAAGAAGGGTCTCTGGATGAGGCGTGACTGCCAGGAGCCACAAGGTGTTTCGGGGAGTAACGGGCCCCTAGCCAAAGGACTCGGCGCTACCCAAAGGAGCGGGATTCTGTGGGCACCACAGTAAAGCAAGGCCCTAAGGACTGCAGTCCGCTGAACACGCTAGGAATCCACGTGCCCAGCCCACGTTAGGCAAAGAGGGAGGGGGGCAACGCCCTCCCAACAGCAAGTGCAGACGGACGTGGAGGTCCCGGTCCTGGGTCCTGGTGTAGGAATCGCGGCACACACGCTGGAGTGGGGACGGGGAAACCCAGCTGCAGGGCCTCCTGGGTCACAGGTCAGCAAGGGGGAAGGGGCCGCAGGGAGGAGGCCTGGCCGGCCGAGTCCCCTAACCCAGCGATCAACAGGCCTGGGGACAACGTGCTGCCGGCTGGACAGTGGCTTTCAGAATGTCAGGAGCAGGGTGGTGTGTGTGTGGGGGCGGGGGGGAGTACAGTGTCCCCGGCACGCCGGGGACACGTTGGTTTCAGGGCCCACCGTGGGGTCTGAACTCACATCCCTGGAATGACGGACGAGCACAGACCCCCCCCCTCCACGCACCTGCCCCGTGTGCTCCACGTCACCATGGACCACTGACAATGCACCATGCGATGGAGAAGCCACGCAAACTGTCGCTACACCACTGCACCGCGTGTGCAGTAGAGACGCTGTTTTCCAGCATTTGCCAACATGGCTCATCGCGTCCCCGGACGTGGGAGCGGAGGTCCCGAGGGCCAACCATGAACCATCTCCTGGGGCCCTAGTGACTTTTCTGTAAATTAGATGCTGCTTCAACAACGAAGGTGCTACAAAAAGGATACAAGGTATTTTGGATTCCGCTTGCGAAACCCGACTGGAGGGCGCCCTGGGGTAGATGGCCAGCTGCTGTCCACCTGTACCCGTGGTCACTAAGCCAGTGGCTGGGAAACATGGGAGCTGTCTTGCGTTCCCGTGAGCGTTTCTCTGCTGTAGAGCGTGGTTACTGAGGCAGCGGCGCTCGCTGATTCCTCAGATGGGGAGGGCACCCATCCGCTCCTCGGCAGGGCCGTGTGAGGCCGTGCCTGTCCCTCTCCCTAGGGAGGCAGGAGGTGATCACAACGGCAGCACGGTGTGGCCGAGTTAGCCATCTGCCCAGTGAGCTGGGCCTGGGCCCGAAACAGGCCTGACGCCCACCCCAACAGGAGCCCGAGTCAGCCCCATCCCAAGGGGGCAGTGGCGCCCTGCAGCCTGGTGTGCGACAGGATGGGGACCAGCCGGTCCCCGCACACGCAGAGGAGCTGGGAAGGATCCGGTCGTGTGGCAGGGAGCCCAGCCGGACTGGCCCTGGGAGACGGCGCTCGGCACTGGGCTGTGTCTGCGCCTTCATCACGCTCCCACGAGGCTCTGTATGGCATCATCACAGCTAGGCACCCCAAAAACCTCACGAGCAGCTGAGACCACCCACTGCCCTGGGAACGAATTCTCTGTGATCTCATAGTTTAAAAAAAAAAAAAAAAAATCCTGGGGCCGGTGTTGTGGCGTAGTGGGTAAAGCCGCCGCCTGTGACACCAGCATCCCATTATGGGCGCCGGTTCAAGACCCGGCTGCTCCACTTCCCATCCAGCTTTCTGGCCCAGCCCCGGCTGTCGAAGCCACCTAGGAAGCAAACCAGCGGATGGAAGTCTCTCCCTCTCTTAACTGACTTCCCAATAAATAAATCGTAAAACAAATACCACTAGCCCCTCCCCACGGAGGCCTCAGGCTCTGCACGCGTGCGGCAGGCTTCCCCGCCCGGGCGCGTCCAGCAGGACCATTTCCACTGTCTCAGTCCCGTGTGGGGTCCCTGCTCTGCACAGAGGCCCTCAGTTTGCCAAAGGGGATAATGAGTCTACAGACCGAGAACTTCTACCTGCGAATGCGGCACAGAGCCACATGCACTCACGTCCGGTTAAAGCGGATGCTACAAGCCACGCTGATGTCCCAGGAAAGTCCAACACCCCCCACATCATCGGCAGCACACGGATACAGCACGACTGGTTGTCAAGCCACTCCTAAGAACCGTTCCAAGGTGAGAGGAAGCAGAGCCCTGGAGAAGGATCGCAGGACGGTCCTCCCTGCCCGCGACGGTCGGTTTGCAACCTGGTGTTGGCGGGCCCGTGCCGAGCGTGCTACCTGGACACCAGCTACAGCTGACCCCAACCCAAATAAGTAAATATACAGGAGTTTTAAAATAATACAAAAACTATTTTTATTATTTTTAAAGCCAGCACAGTGGCTTTTGGCATAACTATCCATTTCTAATACAAAATTGGATTAAATAAATATCATCCAATGTATAAATAGACCATGAAACAATTCTCAAGATAAAAAGAGAACTCTTCTGTAAATAAAAAAAAAATTAACTTTAAAAACTTTCTTTAGTGGTGAATTAAGAACAAATCACTATGTCATTTTAGAATCTGAAATAGAATACAAATCTCGGTTTAATACAAAAGTGTTCATGCTGTGAAGTGTTACACATAAAAAAGATTAAATAGCAAAATCCTTTATGCTTACCAGCTATTGCTCTGCCATTTCTACTGATCTTTATTTTTTAGTGTCTTAAATATTTATTAGTCATTCTCACCAAAAATAAAAAAATAAAGCCCTACCACAGCGCCTGAGGGCAGTGGACGTGGACACCGTGAGCGCGTCCGTCTGAGCACGTGTGCGTCTGTGCACGGGACACACAGGGACCACAGGACGCCTGGTCCGAGACCCTGCCAAGGCCAAGACGAGGCCAGCAGGAGGCGGGAGCCGGGCTCCTGCACGCGCACAATCCCGCCGCCTCACGCTGCAGACAAGAGTGCGAGATTTCAATGGGTTTCTCGTTAGAATGAAGTCAAGACACGGAGGCCCCAGGTGGAGATGGCCCATTAAGCTGGGTCATGTGTGTTCCTTTGAAATTTTATGATAAAAAGAAACAAAAGCATCTACACTACAAGAGTACAGATTAACCGGCAAAGCTGGTGTTGTGATGTGGTGAAGCCGCCACCTGCGAGGCCAGCAGCCCGCATCAGAGCGCTGGTTCAAGTCCCGGCTGCCCCACTGCCAATCCAGCTTCCTGCCGATGCCTCTGGGAAGGCAGTGGAAGGTGGCTCAAACGGGGAACCTGTATGGAGCTCCTGGCTCCCGGCTTCTGCCGGGCCCAGATCTGGCTGTGGCCGCCCTCTGGGGAGTGAACCAACAGATGGAAGACCTCTCTCTCTGTCTCCCCCTCTCTGTTGCTCTGCCGTTCAAATAAATAAATACACGAATCTTAAAATCAAAACAGGTAACTGTAGTTGGGGAGGGTCAGTTGCAAAATCTCCCCCACCTCACTTGCTATGCGATAAGTTTTAGAAAAATAATAAATTAGCAATGATCAACACTTGATTAACTGTTTTGTGTGTGTGTGTGTGTGTGTGTGTGTGAGGGGAGGGCACAGTTTTGACTTTGAAATAACCTTTGGGGAAAAAAATTACGTAGGAAGCAGGCATGAAATATCCCTAAAAACGCACACTAGGAAAGCAGTTCTATACAGCTTGTGTAGTTCCTTTACAGAATGCTGCTGACATGAAGGACCTCTCAGGTTGAGATGTCTGTCTCAACACGTTGCAAATATTCTCCCAAAGCGAGGAAAAGCCACAGGACAGAAGCTCACTCCCACTTTAAATCTCGCGCCTGCACTGACACATGCGTGTCCGGCACATCAGGTTGGAGGGGTCACGGAACACGAGCTGTCAGCCTGAAACCCAGACTTCCTTGTCCCCGAGGACAGAAGAGGGGCAGGAAGACGACACTGGAGGAGCAGAGGGACCCGTGGCTAGGAGGCATTCCTGCCCCATCGGCGCCCTCAGGGTCCCAGCTGCCCGCAGGGGGGCTGTGGGGGCGGGGCTCCCCTGCGCACTCGCTCCTATGCCCCTGACAAGCAGCACAGCGGAGCCTGGGGAGCGGGGGCGCCTGAGAGTTCACTCGCAGGCCGCCCACGAGGAGCCACGGCTCTGGCCTCGGCGCGGCACCAGTTCCCAGCCTGGCTCCAAGTTCAGTGTCTTTGGGACGGGGAGGGATCCATCTCAGCTCCTTTTCGTGTTTAACAATGACTTCACGAGGACACTGGGTTAGAGACAGCTGGGCCTGCCGGCCAGGGGGCGGGCCGGGGGCCGGGGCCGGGGGCCGGGGGCCGGGGGCCGGGGCCGGGGGCCGGGGGCCGGGGGCCCACTCTCCTGAGCCACACCTGCGCTGTGCAGACTTCACGGAGGTAGAGCCAAGCGGCAGTGAAGCTCTTCCTGTGAAAGACACCTGGACTGGAGTTAACCCAAGTGGCGAGCCTGTCTACCTTCAGTATTTTTAAAAGAAAAGCATCGATCACATTTCCGAATATCACTTTCAAATTTATGGTCATCCCAAGGCAGTATGCTACGCAGAGGTGGTCTAGAAACACAATACTCTATGCAAAACCCCGGTGACGCAGGAAGCTGGATCTCTCTAGCAGGACTTTTTAATCAGCCAGCAGAATATAAAGATCAGCCTGTAAACCACAAAGATTCAAGTGAAAGTACAACTTCCCAAATCCTTACATTTTTCAAGGAATGTTTTGCAAAGAAGCAGCTTTTGTGATCAGGAAGTAGATCAAACCAGTAAGTAAATGTCTTGTGTTTGCCTTCCAATAATTTGAGAGAAGACATAAAATGGGTTATTGATAGATTTCTTTTTCTTTAACCAAAATAAAAATAGGCTTTAGATTCATCTGTTAAGGCCTGACATAGGCATAATTAATTAATACAGTTCACTAAACTATGCTTTCTGTACAATTTGGAAACTAAACCACCCTTTTCAAAGGGGTCCTGAGGTGACATTTAATGCTAAAAGCAAAATAAATAGCCCAGCAAGAACGAAAATTTAAAATTCCAATAATTTCAACTTTGGGGGATATTTGTTCACCAAAATTAACTAACATTTCTAAAATATTTTAATACAAAATTGTATATAAAAGAAAAAAGTGCATTAAAAGCAGAACCTTTGAAACTCTAGCACACTTACAATTATTCTGAATAGACTGACAACAGCCAGTTACACACACTGACATTCAGGGAAACCTCGAGATTTATAATAAGTCCAGCATCACAAGAATAAGTCAAATAAGGCTTTCGTTTTCTTAAAAAAATATACAATACACAAAGCAGTTTGGAAAAAAAGTAATATTATTTAACAGTTTTCTGACTTAAATATCTTCACGTAACAAAAGTTTCCATCTCACCATCAATATCACGTATGTACATCCGCAGAGGTGAACAACAGCAGGATCGGAAGGTGCCTTCCCGACTAACAGTGAACGTCTCCTTCTTAGGAACCGGCAACGAGCCCCTCTCTCACTGCACAAAGTCCATACGATATTTATAATAAAACTACTCTCTTCTGGAACCAAGGAGGCAACGAGAGAAAATAAAGGCAATTATTTTTCAGGAAAATAAAATAAAACCCAGCTTTATATTACAATGGAAAAGAGACCCCTCTGCGGGAGAAATGACACAATACTGATCTGAAGTGCTGGTGGGGCGCGGAGCCCCGGGCGCTATTCACAGAGCAGACAGCCCCGCCGCAGAGCCCGCCTGCCGCCTGCCGCCTGCCCGCGGCTGTCTGTACACAGCACAGGACACCAACGTGGAGCCAGGGGCCTTCCCAGCTTTGGAATGCCGCGCGGACGATGCGCGCGCGGCCCCCGCGTGGGTGGGATTCCGTCTGGGACGTGTTTGCTGTGGCACCGTTGATGATACTGAGAATTCCCTGAAATAAAACACACGCTCCTCAGGCTGAAAGAGAAGGTCGCGGCGTGGAGACCACGGGGCAGCGCTGCCCGTTCCCGGCACACGGCCTGCGCACCCCGGCTGCAGGGATGGCTTGTGCGGGCGCGGTCCTCGCCCAGCGCACCTGAGCAAACGCTCCTGCAGTGGCCATGGCACCGGCCCTGGGCCAGCTCCTCTGGCCTCCCTGCTGCCGCCCCACACTGCATTGCTCTGCAGGACCCGAGGTCCGCGTAGGAGAGCGCTGGGCCAGCCAGCTCTCAAGGTACTGGTTGCATTAACTTATGGCAGACTACAAAGAGTCGATTTCTTCTAATTTTCCAAATGCACAGACAAAAAAGTGGCAAAAACTTCCCTGTGCGGTGGGACACTTTCCTGCTCTAAGCTACGCCTCGCCTAACAGGAAGCATGGCGGACATCTGGCACGCTTCTCCATGTTGACTCTGTCTCTGCTAATACGACGAAATCACACTAAGTGACAGAAGACCGGCAGCTTCTGCCGTACCGATGCACCGGCCGAGGTGTGGAAGATGCACCTGCCTCTCGCAGTACCTGAGTTCAGTGATCTGTAGACAACGGGCAACGCCACGTCTACATCTTTCCCAGCTTCCCTCCTGTCAGTCTCTGAAAGACAATGATTCTTAGGGAATTTCAGAGCTAAAAACCGATTGTGTAGTGTTTCCAACACTTGAAGCCCTGAAACAGAAATCCCGGTGCGCCGTCCTGGCCCGTGGCCCGGGCCGTGTCCTCCGGCCGGCTTCAGAACACGTTGGTGAGCGCCTGCCACTCGCCCGCCGCCTCCTGCACCACCTCCTCCAAGTGCAGGGTCCTCAGCTCCTCCCCGTCCTGCTCCGGGTGCCCAGTGGCCTCCGGCAAGGTTCCTGTACACAGGCAGAGAAAGGACAGGCACAGCCTCAGACAGGCAGCTCCTCGCTCGCCTCGCCCTGTGGGCTCGGGCGGCAGGCTCAGGCGAGGAGGGAGCACGCAATCTCGCCCCGCGGAGGGGATGTTCCGCCCACCTGCTCCCCAGAGGCCCCGCTGCTCACGCACACACACCTTTTCACACCCGTCAAACCGAGCCATCATGCCAGGCATGGCGGACTTCCCTACTTCTAACTCCTCCTCTGCAGGTTTGCTATACCCGTTCCCGAAACACAGCCTAGAGTCAACAAGAGGGAGCCCACGCGATCCCACAGCCCGGGATCCCGACTCTGACAGCACCAGGCTGGTGGAGTGCAGCAGCCAGGTGTCCTCTGGGCCGAAAGACGCCGGCTGAGCAGCAGGGCACCTGCCGGCCACTGCCATGCAGCTCCACGGCCCTTGACGGCACACGGAGGCAGCAGCGGCACCGACAGGGCCTCCTGAGTGCTGCCCCCAGGCTACGGGAAGCTCTGTCCACTGACCACTCAATGCACCCACTCAAGTCTGGGGGGCCGCTTTGCTCCTAGAAAGTTCTGTACCCTCTGCCGAAACAAATCAGAAATACATTCTGACCAGGTCCTGTGTTGGGGCGGGCTGCTCCCAGCCAACTTCGGAGCCAGCAGACACTAAGGGGTGAGCTGACCAAAGCCCAGAGTCTGACCTGGGCACTCGCTGGCCCCAGGCCGGGCTTTCTTGGCTCGTGCCCTGCGGGCGCACCACACACAACACCCAGTCCCCGCGGGCCCTGGGAGAGCCCGTGCGCGGGGCTGCGGCGCCAGGGCCTCTCACCAGTGCAGCTGTGCGCCCGCTTCACATGCAGCTTCATGTTGCTCTTCTGCGTGAAGCCCATGGCGCAGTGGGCGCAGCGGTAGGGCCGCTCCCCCGTGTGCTTCTTCATGTGCACCTGCAGCGCGCTCTTCTGGTTGAAGGCTTTCTCGCACAGCGTGCAGTGGAAGGGCCGCTCCCCTGCAGGACAGAGGCCACGGTCAGCATCTCTCAGGCCGCTGCTGACAAGCGTGTGAGAGAAGCTGAACCTGAAGAAAAGAGGCCACGGTGGGTTTGGCTGTGTTTTTTTCTGATGTTTATTTTATTTGAAAGGCAGTGGGACAGAGAGGAAGAGACAGAGAGACCCACCTACTGGGTCACTCCCCAGATGACAGCAACAGCCAGGGCTAAGCCGGGCTGAAGCCAGGACCCTTGAACTCCATCCGGGCCTCCCACACGAGTGGCAGAGACCCACGTGCTTGGGCCATCATCCCTGCTTTCTGAAGCACGTTGACAGAGCTGGATCAGAAGCCGGGCGGCGAGGACTCCACCGGCACACCGGTCCCAGATGCCAGTGTTGCAGGCAGTGGTTTAACCTGCGCACCGCATCGCCAGCCCCGGGACACGGCGATGAGCCGCCTGTTGCCCATCCAAGAGTTTTGGTGAAGCCACTCCGTGCCAGGACAGCAGAACTCCCATCAGCACTACTCAGAGCCCCAGAAGCACCCATGATAAAAAGCAGAGCATAAATGGTTTAAACGAAGACAGTAAGGACACGAGAATACCAGCTCCACTCAACAGACCACACGTGCTTTTGTGAACGCTACTTAACTGCACTCATGTTAACAGGGAGACTGAAGAGTGAGAGGAAGGGGCGCCAGGCCCGACGTCTGGCTCCGCTACCCACCCCGCACTGCCCCAACGCCACCTGCTCCCCCCCCTCCCATCCCGTGGAAGCTGTCTCACGGGGTCCGGAACAAAGGGAAACTAAAGCCGGTCCCCTCCCCAGTCCTTGCAGTTATACAAGTCCCAGCCAAGGCAGCATGACTGGCAACGATTCCAGAACATGCGTGGCTTGTTCCCAGAGCTCTCAGGGTTAGCTGGGGCTGCATGAAGCGAGGCTGCAGCAGGAGGACAAGTGCTAGGCCCTGAAGCCAGAACACCGTGTGCTGTCAACAGGCAGCCCAAGACGCAGGGCACCAAGCACCCGCAGACAAGAGACCCTCAGGAAGCCGGGCTCGGGGTCATGAGTGCGCACCCTGGCTGTCCATGCGCTCCCGGTCACACGCTGACGTGTGTGCCCAACGGGAGGCCTGCAAAGCGTTCCTGGTCCTGGCCTCAGACTGCCCCAGCTCCCACCCGCACGGCACTTAAGGATGAACAAGTAGACAGAAGATCTCTCTGTCTCACTGCCTTTTGCATAAAATGAAAAAAGAAAATCTTGTAAGTTTAAAAAAGTTGGGGGGGGGTAAAGAGAACATCCTCCTAAGCGACACAGTCAAGATCAGGTCCATCAGCCACCTGGTGGGCTCCAGTGTGCACATGCGTGCACATGCACACGCACACACACGGCCCAACACCAGTCTTCACGATCCACTTAACTACAAAGAGCAGGACAGCAGATGTCACCACCACCACCTTACCTCCAGTCACAAAGAGGAAAACACAACTCAGGAACAAATACAAATGCTGCTTCCAAAAATCAGGTAAAAATACTAAAATATTAAATGTTTCACAGTTGCATGAGCAGTGAGTATCTGAGAAACTGAAAGGGAAAATTCCACACAGCACCCAGGGGCGTGGGGCAGGCATCTGGCACACGGCACCCGGGGCGTGGGGCAGGCATCTGGCACGTAGCTACGTCGCTCCATTGCTCAAGGGGCTGGTCTGAGTCCCAGACACTCCAGCTTCTGACTCAGCGTCCTACTGACATGCAGCCGGGGAGGCCGTGGTGAGGGCTCCAGTACCTGAGTCTCTGCCACCCAAGTGCGAGACCCGGACTGCGTCCAGGTTCTGGTTTCAGCCTGGCCCAGCCTTGGCTGCTCAGGCATTTGAGGATTTAATTGGTGACTATAAGATGTTTTGTATCTGTCTCCCTGTCTTTCAAAAATGAAAATAGACGAATTTTTTAAAATTAAAAAAAGAGGGGCTGGCACGGTGACACAGCAGATAAAAGCCACTGCCTGCAGTGCTGGCATCCCATACAGGCCCCAATTCATGTCCGGGCTGCTCCACTTCCGATCCAGCTCCCTGGATGCATCTGGGAAAGCAGGGAAGATGCCCAAGTGCTGGGGCCCCTGCGCCTGCGTGGGAGACCCGGAAGAAGCTCTTGGCTCCTGGCTTCAGACCAGCCCAGCTCTGGCCGTTGTGGCCATTTAGGAAATGAACTAGTGGATGGAAGACCTCTCTCTGTCTCTCCCTCTCTCTCTTTGTAACTCTGCCTTTCGAATAAATAAATCAATCTTTTTAAAAAAGAGAAAAAACAGATACCTGTTATTAAACCACTCATTCTGAGAGACGCTATGGAAATATTTAATGAAGCACATAGACCAGGAGATTAAAGGAAGACAACAACCAGTGCAGCTCAGTGTAGACGGCGCGCCCATTCTCCACACTCCCAGATGGCACCTGCCGGTGCCCAGCCTGCAGCTCCCCTGCACTCTCCAGTCACCTCCGCGCTCCCACGGTGCTCAGTGCCGTGCACCTACCTCACCACCACAGCAAACGGCACTCACCTGGAGCAGGCATGCAAACAACAGCAGCTCAGCATAGAACTCCAACCACACACACGGAGGCTCCAGGTCCCTGACGGAGGCCACAGCCCAGGGGGGGAGATGGGAGGGAACCCAGGAGGGGTGGCCATGTGGGCCCTGGGGCCCTGGTGGCCATGGAGCAGCCCCCCGGGGAAGGGCTACATGTGCCAAGGCCAGAGGACGACTCAGAAAACAGCTCGGGGAGAAGGGGAAGGCTACTGGCCCCGGGAACACTGTGCTCCAAAGCAGAGGGACGACGGGGCAGGCGAGTGGAGGACCCGGCACGGCCGTGCCAGGTGCCGTGATGGAGCCGTGGGTGACCGAGCCCCTAGCCAGGCCGGGGTGTGTGTGTGTGTGTGTGTGTGAGAGGTGCTCCTTTGGCCCAGGGTTTCAGTGTGGCCACTGCGTGGACGAGGGGCTGAGAGCAGGGAGCCTTGTGGGTGGAGCAGGGGACCTGAGAGGCGGGACGTGACGGGAGGAGGCAGACAGAAGGGCTCCAACAGCGTTACCAGAGGACAGGGGCCGCAGGGCCGGCTGGGTGGGTGGGTCCGTGTGCCTGTCCTAACAGGAGGGGCTCCTGCCCGCGGCTTCCGTTCTAGGGTGAGGACACAAGCCGCAGTGTGTCCGAGCTGAGAGTTAGTGAGGATGACACACGGATCACAACGAGGGGGCCTGGAAGCTGTGGCCCTTGTACGTCCCCAGTCCCGCTGTCTCCTTCCAAAGCAAACGCATGGCGGCCTCGCACCCCTTACCTGTGTGGATGCGACTGTGCCGCTCCAGCTGGCTGGGCTTGGCAAACGCCTTTTCACAGGTGTCGCATTTAAACACTCTTGGCTTCTGGGAGCTTAGGGAAGGGCCCGCTTGGTGCGTCTGCATGTGTTCCTGGCAGAGATAGCACAAAGCGACACGCACATGAGGACGCTAACAGAACCTAAGACCACAGAGCACAAAGGGGAAACCAAGCCCCACACCGAAGCACCAGTGGCAACCACGAGACCAGGCCACGTGGTGCTGCGTTCCCCAGGACCAGAGCTTGTCACCAGGAGCCAGATGGAGAGACCCCAGGCTCCAACCTGAGCTCTACCACAAACGATGTGGCCTTGCCACACCTGCTTCCAATGGGCCATACACAGTCCTCCCACGGGCTGCAATGAGGACACCACAGCCAGTCCAGGGACAGCGCCACGTCACGCTCCTCCTTCAGCGGTGGACACAGCCGGTGGCAGAGACGTCCTTCAAGGACACTCTCCATAAAGCCTGCAGACCGCGGAGGCTCCTGCCTCACCACGGCCCCAGCCTCCTGAAGCTGCAGGGTCACGTGTGGCAGAGACTGCGCCCTGGGACCAGGGTGCTCACCTGCCTGCATCCGCAGGGCACTGGGTGCCACCGCCTCCTGCTCCCAAGGCTCACCAGTGCCGGCCGAGCCACCGTCTGCAGGAACTTTCCCTAGGCAGCGCGTGGCGAGTGTCTGACGTGCACAGGCGTCACGTCACTCCACGGCCAGACAGCACAGGAGGATACCGAGAGGCTGGGCCCTGGCTCCACTGGGCACTCCGGCAGCACAGGGCGAGTGCCGGCCTGGCCAGGGGCAGGCGCCCTCCGTGGTGAGCAGGCTGAGCCTGGGCTTCTGCTGCCCCAGGCGGCGCCACAGCTAACGACAATCTCACTGAACCCTGAGCGTGCTAAGGTCAGAGTTCCCCGTTTCTGGGACCCCTGTCTTCACACAGTGAGCGCCTGCTATGTGAAATGTGGAAGGCTCGAGCAGACACATGCACTCCCCATGCACCCAGGGCCTGCATTCGGCGTGCACTGTCCTGGCTCTGCCACAGCTGCCGCACGGTCGCTAGGCCCGTGCGCGCTCTCATGCCCTGCTCTGTGTTCATCTGCTCCTCGTGCTCCTCCCCTGACCGTGTCTGACTGGCCTCGCTTGTGAGGACCTGCACGGTTCTACAGGGCTGGCCAGGGTCTGTGGGACACCCTCTGTTGGGATCTAGCTCATGTTTTGCTAGCACCAGAAGCAGGCCGCGGGGCTCCAGGAGGCACCAGCACAGACTGACGGACCCACACCATGACCTAGCACTGGACACGCACCACGTGCGACTCAGGCTCCAGTGGCACTGGTCAGGTTTGTCCAGGACAGACTTTGTCTGGCTTTTGGCCCTTTCCGCGTGGTTTCCCTTAGAAGAAGGAGAGCCCTGGGCTGCACATCACTCAGCTGGGAGTCTGCCCACTCCTGCTCCTGCTCCTGCTGCCTGGGCCTTCCCCGAGCTGCCTCTCATGGACATCCAACCACCTGCAACCACATGGCCATGGCCGTGAACGCCGTGCAGGGAGCCTGTGTGTGCGGAGGTGCACCTGCAGGGCGGCTGCCCAAGGTGAGTGCGCAGCACTTCACCAGCTGCGGCCACCTCCCCTGGGAGGCCTGCTACCTTGTGGCGGGCACGCCTGCGTCCTAGAGCCTTCCCAGGATGGCCGGTCTGACAGGTGAGAAGTGGTGCAACGCCGCTCCAACCCACATCAGAAACCGACACTGAAGTGCACGGGAGGATGCGCACCAGAGACGGCCACGACCAAAGCGCGTGGTGAAGGGCTGTGCGCCACAGGCTTCTCAGACATGGGGGATCTCTCCCCAGGCTCCTGCCCGGCCCGGGTGAGGGCTACCTTGAGGTGCGTGGCACGCTTGAAGGCCTTCCTGCAGACGAGGCAGCCGTGGATGCGCTCCTGGCCGTGCACCTCCCTGCTGTGGTGCATGAGCACGGCGGCCGACGAGAAGGCGCGGTCACACTCCAGGCACTGGCGCGCCCGGCCCTCCTTCTCGGGCTGGGTGCCCTGGGCCAGGGTGGCTGAGACATCCGTCACCTAGAGTGGGTCAGAAATTTGGTGACTTGCCTCTCTCAGCATCAGATGAGCACATTCCACACGGCAGCAGATGGCCAGGATCACAACAGGCCCACGAAGATGTGGACACGCTGGCCCACAGGGCGCACCTTGCATCATCTTGGTCAGATCTAGCCAGGGACACCGGACGAGGGCTGACCAACCAAGATTTGACAAACGAGTGACGGCCAGAGCCAGACAGACCAGGTGCAGAGTCCAGGACCGGCAGTGCCATCCAGGCCACTGTGGGCCAGAGTGGACCCCCACATGCCTGTTCCTGCAGCTGAGAGCGCGTAGTGACACGGCCACCAGCCTGCCGGGATGGGGACCACGTGAGCTCCTGCACACAGCGCGCGCCCCTGAGCGCTGCTGAGCTTGGGCTGGGACAGGAATCCGCCACGAACTCTGAGAATGCTCTGACTGAGGACCACTCCCACCAAGCCGCACCACACGCCAATCGGCAGCAGCAGAAGGCGCCTCCATCAACGTGGGCGCCACACTGACCAGGAGGGCTCAGCTCCTCTGCCCGGCTGCCACCGCTTCAGAAACCGATACGAAGAGTAGGAGGGGCTGATACTCAGCCTGGTCAGCACACAACAGGGGTCAGCTGTGCGACGGAAATGCGTGAGGATTAAGGCAACGATTACAAGAAAACTGACGGTACTTTCTGACACTTTCATTATTCCTAATTTCTCAGGTAACTGTTCATAATCCTGGAATACACACTAGAGGAAAATATTTAACTGCAACAAGATTTCAACAGGGTGCTCTGGCATTATTAATCTGTGCTGGAATAAAAGAATGGTGTGGGGGGAAGAAAGAACGAAACAGAAGAGACACTGTGAGTGTGTGACACGCCCCAGACAGATGTGTGCACACGCATGTGGGTACGCACACAAACAAAACATGCTTGGACGTGTACACACAAGGTACTTCCTGTGAACAAAGAGCATGAGGAAAACACTGGAGTGGTGGTGCGCACACTCCCGCACCTGCCTGAGACAGAGGCCACACTGACGATGTCCATCTGCAGGCACGGTCACCAGCACACAACACAAACACCTCACTCACGGCACGCAAGAGTTCTATGTGAGGCCCACAACACAGACACCTCACTCACGGCACGCAAGAGTTCTACGTGAGTCCCACTTCACTCAAGGAAGCACTAAGCACAATGCTACTTCTACACACAAATGCTTTCCAGCAACAGTGAGGCTGCTGGCCCCCGCTGGGACTGTGCCTCCAGTGACCACGCACACGTGAAAATACACTGAGGTGCCAAACGGAGAGGGGACTCTGTTCCAGGTGGGCTGAGCTGAGCTGAGCCATGCAGCCTGCCAGTGTGCCCACACCAGTCTCTTGGATCAGCTTTCGGGGCAGTAAGCCTGAGGGGCAGGTCTGCCTGGGCAGGGGCGAGGGGACTTGGCCCTGCCCCTCTCAACCCGCGGCCACAGACCTACTGAGCTCACCTCAGACAGGCCCAGCACGTAACCAGCCTCCCTCTAACAAGCTGGCTTCTTCCTGAAAACCTGCCTGGAGACCAGCAGATGGCGACTCACAGGGAGCCCAAGAGCGACCATCGAAAGCTCTGTTCCTGTGTTCAGACACCCAGCCGGTTCAACACCTGCTGTCTCTCACAAGCAACCTATCTTGAGAGGTTTCACTTACGTTTGAACCTCAGTTTCCCTGTGCATAAAAACAGGCACCGCCACAGGCACCTCACCGAGTAACGCACATCGAGAGGGGCAGCGGGGCTTCATCTGGCTCAGTGGGTGACACCACTGTCTGGGACACGTGCACCTCCTGTGGGAGTGCCTGGGACCCAGTCCGGCCATTGCTGTCATGCACGCTGGAAGGCAGGGATGGCTCGAGTGCGAAGGGTCCCTGCCACCCACGTGGAGACCTGAATGGAGGAGTTCCAGGCTCCTGGATTTGGTTTGGCCCAGCCCTAGCCATGTGCGCACTGAGGAAGTGAATCTGCAATGGAGGATCCTTCTTTCTCTCTTTCTCCCTTTCTGGACCCTGCTTTTTAAATAAATAAATTGTAGAAGTGTCGAGGGGGGCTGCCACTGTGGCATGGTGGGTTAAGCCGCCATCTGCAGTGTCCACATCCCATATGGGCACCCCTTCAGATCCTGACTGCTCCACTTCTGATCCAGTTCCCTACTGAGGTCCCTCAGAAAGCAATGGGAGACGGTCCAAGTCCTTGGGTCCCTGCACCCACATGGGAGACCCTGAGGAAGCTCCTGGCTCCTGGCTTCCGATCAGCCCAGCTCTGGCCATTGCAGCAGAGACTGGCTGTGGAGGCGGCTCTCGACAGCCCTTTCCCAACACACACACGTCTACACCGCAGTCTCACTCAGCATGGGTTTGCCTTCAGAACCTGGGATGGAAAGGCAAGGTAAGCGAGATGCCAGCATGACAGCGCTGTGCCAGGACCTGCACCCAGGGCCAGGAGCTTGCTGTGTCCTGTCTCTCTGACCTGTCCCTGGGGTGGCCATCAGGAGACACCTTGTCTTACACATGGGACGGCACACAGCCGGAGGGCTGTCTATGGCCCCAGGCAGCGAGCACGGGAGTTAGGAGGCGCACAGCACCACGGGCCGGAGCCAGGGCGCGGCAGGGGCTGGAAGGGACTGAGCTGAGGGCAACCCGGGCCCAGAAGCTTTGGTTGGCTCCAGCTGCCTTCCAGGAGCACGGAAAGAGCAGGCAGCGACCGAACGCCGCTCGTTCTAGCACGGCAGAGCAACACAGACGGCACCTCGCAGGGCTTCTCTGGCCGCTCAGACTGTGTGCTCTGTGGCACTGCTAGCTAGCACGCGATGGCTGTCAGGCGGAGGCTGTCCCCGGCCTGAGAACATTCAGGCTCCCTTGGGCACGGGAATCCCCGACAAACAGGACTCCTCCAGCTGCAGTAAGCTGAATGCTGAAATCACAGCTTAGAAAACAGCATGTCCGTTCGGTTTGCTGGTCGGTGCATCCAGGCAGCAGGTAAGGTGTGCACCGCACTGTGCCAGGAGCACTCTCTGAAACAGGACTGGGCAGCTGCCCTCCTCAGGCATGGCCACAGCGACCACGAGGCCACAGCTGCTTCCGTCTGCCCCTCAGGGTGCGCAGCCAGCTCACAGGCCTGCGTGCACCAAAACTGGTCTACACTTGGCTGGCCCCTGGGACACGAGCCACAAGCTCTGGACTTCCTACTGGGCAGCAGTGTCTTCTAACACAGGAACTCACTCCAGAGCGCCCGTGTGGACGGCAGGGATCCAACTACTTGAGTCATCACCTGCTGCTCCCGGGTCTGCACCGGCAGGAAGCTGGGGTCCCTACAGCTGATACTCCCAGGCATCCATGAAGACCCCAACAGCTAGGCCAAATGCCTGCCCACTAGTTTAGTGGTAATAAAACCTCAGCCCCAAAAAATCATGGAATGAAACAATGAGATCCTGTATCTGTCACCACAGGATTTGGCTGTGGGACACGTCCCTAGAGGCTGGCCCCAGCTGCCCAGGCCACCCTTGTCCATGACCCTGTACCACCACCCCTTCCAAATCTGTAGGTGTATGAACAAAGGATATACCGCACCTGGTAGGCCACTTCTTCACAGGGGGCAGCTGCCGACTGCGGGGTGTGGCTCACTAGGATGACCTGTGGGGAGCCCGCGCCTCCTTGGCTGGCCAGGGAGGGGTCCGTGAGCAACGCTGGGAACTGCTGGCCCTGGAAAAGACAATTCCGGTTTTCATATACTGTACAACAGCCATGCAAGTGGTGATTTTTATGACGTTTTATGAGGCAGCTGCTTTGGAAAACAAGCTGGTAGAATCACCATCTAGCTCAGCAACCCCAGAGATGTGCCCATTGCCCACTGGGGAGCGGAGCACACGGCGCTGTCCACAGCAGCAAGAAGTGGAAACTGCCTAACGTCCAGCAAGTCTGGATGCATCGCAAATGGGGCACACACAGGACCGGGTGTCACAGTCTGGACAAGGGGTGAGGGGCGGGGATTACAAATGGGGTGCACGCTGGACCGGGTGTCATGATCTGTGACAAGGAGAGAAGGGCGGGGATTACAAATGGGGTGCACACTGGACCGGGTGTCATGGTCTAGACAAGGGGTGAGGGTTGTAAGTGGGGCGCACACAGGACCGGGTGTCACGGTCTAGACAAGGAGTGAGGGGCGGGGATTACAAGTGGGGTGCACACAGGACCGGGTGTCACAGTCTGGACAAGGGGTGAGGGGCGGGGATTACAAATGGGGTGCACACTGGACTGGGTGTCATGGTCTGTGACAAGGAGAGAAGGGCGGGGATTACAAATGGGGTGCACACTGGACCGGGTGTCATGGTCTAGACAAGGAGTGAGGGGCGGGGATTACAAGTGGGGTGCACACAGGACCGGGTGTCACGGTCCAGACAAGGAGAGAAGTGTGGGGACACGCTGCAGCATGGGGGAGCCTCGGCAACAGCAGGGACAGAGAGACGGCCAGCCACACCGCTCCACTCACATGCAGACCCACGGAGGACACGAGTGGTTTAATACCAGTAACTTGCAGAGGATGGACACTACGGCTCAAAAGAAAGCAAGCCCTAAACAGCAGGGCTAGCAGCCCTGCTCACTTTACCCTGACACTGCCACCTGTGGTAAAACACTCCACAGGCAAACTCCGACCTTTCACTGACACCCAAGAAAACCACACTTAGAAGCCCAAATCGCAAGTTTTCAATGGCTTACCCAGGTCAAGCATCTGTAAGGAGTTTAATAAGCGGTAAGAATACAGACGAAATAACTCCCTTCATCTATAAGGAAACCACTTCTTCCTGTATTCCAGAGTAAGAACTAAGATCGCCTTGTCCTGCCGAGCAGGCTTCCCGAGGCGCAGGCCCGCACCTGCTCACAGAACACGGCGCACAGGCCCTCCCAGCTCACGACTGCGCACAGCTCAGGGAGAGGAGTCCTCTCGAGCGTGCCACTGAGAAAGAAACTTCCCCGCCCGCTGCCGCCCTCGGCATTTTCCCTCCAAGTCGTCTTCATGTCAGTAGGTTTCAAATCACTGCACTTCAGCTTCCACTCCAACAAATCGTATTTCAAAATAAAATAACTGTTTCTGGATTAGAATTATCACCCACCCAGAATAATATTCTCCTAAAATTGGGCCCTTTTCAAATTTAAATCAGGATTCATTATGGATTTATAAAAATGTATTTGTTTCAAAATTTTGGCTTTTATGGGTTCAACTTTGCCCATAACTAAACTACTTAACAAAACCACTTGAGACCAATTTTCAGGGCCGGCGTTGTGCCACAGCAGGTAAGGCCACCATCCACAAGGCAGCACCCCATAAGGGTGCTGGTTTGTGTTCCGGCTGCTCCACTTACAACCCAGCTCCCTGCTAATGGTCTCAGAAAGTAGCGGAAGATGGCCCACATGTTTGGGCCTCTGCACCCACATGAGAGACCCGGAAGAAGCTCCAAGCTCCTGGCTGCTGCCTGGCTCCGCCCCAACCGTTCTGGGGAAGTGAGCCAGCAGACGGAAGATCTCTCTTTTTCTTTCAAGTAAATAAATAAATCTTTTTTAAAAAAAGACAAATTTTCTTTTCTTATACAACTATTTTCTAAGACTTCACAATGATAAAACCCCCCAAAATATATGTAATAAATAATAAGCATCTGTTCTTTTCATTTCTTTCTAAAATTTACAATAATTTAAATGTTTACTTTATAGGCGTTTTCCTTTAGGGAGGTCTTAGTATTTTTCATGAATCTGCATGAAATTTTAACTGCAGGAAAATGCTGAATATTGGATTTCTCTATGCTCCTCTTTCCTTGCTGTTAGCTTTCACCAAATTCAAGAAGCACAGGAAATTTTAAGAACGTACATGAAGCCATTCCATATTCATCTCCTGACCTCTACTGATCTCTACATTAATCATCAGAAATGCTAATTTCTCATCACCAGCTTCTGATGTTCAGGTCTAATGTTTATCATTATCAGTTACAATACCTATAGACATTTCTTGTACGTTCATTAATCTCTTGAGAACAGTGCTGAGTTAATTCATACCAGGATTCATTCTATTTAGAAAACACCACGCGCAAAGTCAAGAAACGCTGGATCTGGCTTTTCCCGGTTTTCAGAGGATTAAATCAGCGCAGGACTACTGCAGGTCTCAGCCAGCAGCAGAGACTCAGGAAAAGCCTCTCACTTCTGCTGGGGGTTTTAACCACTTTTTGGACAAGGTAGGCTAACGCGCCATTTTGATTTGTAAAATTTTGTACTTGAGAATACTGCTGTGTGTGACCAGAGGCCCTGGCCCCCAGCTGTCCACAGCCCCCAAGTCTGAACCAGAGACATCGCATGACCATGCCCACCTCTAGACAGAAGAGCAGCAGCACGGCAGCCAAGGAAAAGGGGGAGGAAGCAATTAGCTCTCAGTCTGAGAGGGAGAGGCGTCCCCGCCCAGCGTGGCGTCACCGTGGGGAATTCTGTAGCATGGCCGCCCCCCCACAGGACACTGAGCTCCTGCACCCAGACACACCTGCCCTCTACACCTAAGGCAACTGCTTCTACTCCACCACTTCTAAGTGGAATAATACACACAAGAAAACACTGCTAGGATATGTAAGCAGGCACCCCCTGGGCCAAACCTGGGCAAGAATTCTATTGCACAGAACACACCAGACGTGGCTTCCTGGGTCCACACAGGCTTGTCCTGGGCTGGCCCAGCAGCTTCACCGGAAGAAACGTGGCAGGTTGGGACAGGAAGAGAGGAGGCTGATCACCCAGACGTTACTGAGCCAGAGGGGAAGCCGCTGTATCCACGGGCATGGGTCCCTGGCTGGCGCCGGCCTGTCATGCCAGGACAGGGCTGTGCTGGGGACATCTTGGTGAGGGCCTGGGGAAGGCCTGCTTGCCTCGGGTGTGAGTGTCCTGCCACCGTCCCGACAGAAACGTCTTTCTGGCCACTGATCCTGGGGCAGAGCCAGAGCTTCAGGGAGGTGCCCTACAGGGACGGGCACCAGTCTTGCTCTGGACGCCAGAGTTGTTACCATTCTCTGGTACAGTGAGCCCAAAAGGCCAAGAAGGGAACTGAACAGGGCTCAGCTTCCTCGCACGACGGCAGCCAGGTTCAGCCGCGGTCGCCGGTGTCCTCTGGCACGGTGTTTCACGGCCAGCTGTCCTTTAGTCCTCCTCCTAACTGGCCGTACTTCATCATCATGGCTTTGCTGGCCAAACTCTGAGGAGGTGTGTGGCATCTGAGCTCAAGGCATCATGTCCGAATGTAGCTGCCTTGGATCCCATCAAACCCTAGGGTTGGGGTGACAGAGCGGAGCCCCGGGGGCTGTCAGACAGAGGGGCCATGTTCACGACAGAGTGGGGAGAACGCACGGCCCGTGCAGGCTGTACTCGCCTCCGAGGAGGGGAAGCTGGTGTCTGCATGTGAGGACAGAGGTCCCTGCGGCTCTGTGGAGGGACGAACAGTGGATGGCTGGTTGTTTCTGTTTAGCTCTATCTTCTACACTTTTCCATACTGTCTGAACCCCTTTTTCCTCCTTTAAACATGTTTTTTTAAGCTGGAAAAGAGAATACTCCCATCACGAAAATCAGTGTCCAGAAGATACACCTAGGAGAGTAAATGCAGACTGTGTGCAGAGGCCGTTCTGAGAGGGTCCGTAGCTGCCATCTGCACGCTCCAGGGCACCCACCTGAGAGGTGATGTTGAGTGTCACGGTGTCCAGGCCTCCCGACAGCATGCCCTGAGTGTCCGCCAAGGTCAGCGTCACGCTGGCGTCTCCCCCAACGCCTGACGAAGACATGACCAGGTTCTGAGTCGAAATGGCTGACGGGGACATGGGTGTTGACGAAGGCAGGCTCCCGCTCGCAGGATTCAGCTCTACAAAAGAGGCCAGACAGCACGTCAGTAAGAAAGCTGAGCGAGCCCGGCTGTCAGCGCAGGGAGGAGAGCGCCAGCTCCCCTCACCAGGCAGCACCCTACAGAGGCGTCAAGGAAACCACAGACCTCTCACTCCAATAACCTGACAAGGCTGCTCTTCCGAATGAGTACGCACAGAGAAAAGCCAGCGAAAGGAGCGTGCAGGCCGGCCCTGCAGTCCCGGTCCCGGCTCCTGCTGCAGCACCAGCACTCAGGAGCTCCGGCCGAACAAAGCAACTGCGTGAGCGCCACGGGCAACGACGGGTGCAAGCTGAACAGACAGATCCGGCCACCTCTGCTCAGCGCCTCACTCCATCCCCTGCGCGTCTACTTACTGGGAACACAGGCCACCAAAAGAAGCCGCACGTATCTTTAAACATCAACTTATCCTGCGTGACATCTTCACTTCCTCAGGAAATGGCAACAAAACCTTTAGCCACTCCCCCCTGCAGCCAACGGTGAGGAAGGAAGAATGGGCAAGGACAGGCCTTTCCTTCGCTGGACAGACACGGCGCACCTTCCTGGGACACGGAGCAGCCGAGGACCCTCGGAGTCCTGGGGTGGGCGGCGACGGCAGCAGCTCTCAGCTGTGGCTGGTGGGCGTGAGCACGCACGTAGGGAGGCACAGCCCGCCAGCCGTCCATTGGCCCACTCGGCCACAAACAGGCACCAATCAGCCACTCACAGCAGCCCCTGGGCTAGGGGCTAAGGACACCAAGACAATCAATGAAAGATAAGCAGAAAGGCTGTTCCCTAACTAGATTTCAAAACAAAGCCAAGTCAACCGCTGAGCGCCTTCTGCGACCTGGGCACAGTGGCCGGGAGCCTCCCCTAGGAACGGGGCCAGCAGGGAACTAGTTACTTACTTGAAACTGGAGCTCTCCAACTACAAGGCCTCCACAGATCCACACTCTTGGAGTCCCACACTGTGCTGCACAGACCTGGAACCTTCAAAAGCAGTATAACCATTAGGAGGCTGGGGCTCCGCAGAAACCACGCCAGCTCCCTCCCGCCTGCCCGGGCGCCCCGCACAGAGCTGAATCCTCAGGCACGTGGGGCAGGAGGGGGAGTGTGGATGTGTGGAGGACGCCTGCACGCCTGAGCACTCCAGTTACCAGCACAGCACCTCGAGGCAACCCGCGCTCCCGCCACGCTTCCTGGCTCCTGCAACCCGCACGCAACTGGACTGGACCAAGACAGGAAGAAGGGTGCTGCATGACGCGGGTCACCAGGAGGGCCGGGTGGGGGCTGGCCCAGCGCGGGGAAGCACATTCCTGAGTCCTACCAGGGTCACACGGGAAGGAAAAAGGCAAGGCTGAGACAACTCACGACTGCTCAGCCAGCAAGGAGGCCGGCCCTCACCCTAACCTCAGTGGAAGGCCCCAACAGAGAAGCGCCTGCGACTTCTCAGGGTCACTAATGCACCCAAAGGCTGCAGGGCGGTACAGCAGGGGAGGGCCTCAGAGGGACAGAAGCCTCTGTGTTCATTCAATCAATCCCAATGCCAAGTGCAGGGAAGCTAAACAACCGCACAGAGGGTCAACTCCAAGGGCGAACCTCTGGGTCTTAATTCAAGAGTCTGTCCAGATACCAGAGCAAGGAGACATATCCTCAACTGGGCTGAAAGGAACACAGGACTACAGTAGGAAAACATGGAAATATTCTTGAGCACAAAATTAACTAATTTTACAAGTCACAAAAAGCTCCTAATTACATATTCCTTAAAAGCTCTAGAAGTCATAATACAAAAAGAAAACTATTTATTTAAGGGGTAGAGAGTCAGGGAGAGAAGAGAGGAGGCCAGGGTCCTCCGGGTGCCGGCTTGAATCCTGGCTGCTCCGCTTCTGCTCCAGGTCCCTGCTAATGGCCTGCAAAGAGCAGCAAGGGTGCCCCAGGCGCCTGGGCCCTTGCCACTCAGGCGGGAGATCTGGAGGGAGCTCCTGGCTTTGGCCTGGTCCAGCCCTGGCCCTTACAACCATCTGGGGAATGAACCAGTGGATGGAAGATTCTCTCTCTTCCTCTGTATCTGTAACTCTTTCAAAACCAAAAATAAATAAATAAATCTAAAAAAAAAGACACACAGAGAGAAACGTTCTTGGCCGACTTTACCACTAACATGGCCAGCAGCAGGCCGCTGGCCCAGCAGTGAAGGCACCCTCAGCCCACACAGGGCTGCGGCTGTGCCGGCCGTCGGTGTGAGGCTGACACTCACCGTCTAAGGACCCCAAGCCCGAGTCCCCGGGTTCCACAGCAGCTTCCAGCTCCTAACTCCAGCCTCCTACTGGTGCAGACCCCGGAAGACAGTGGTCAGAGCTCCAGGAACTGAGTTCCTGTGACCCACGTGGAGACCGGGACTGAGATCCCAGCTCCTGGCTCCAGCCCAAGTCCAGCCTCAACCACTTTGGGCGTCTGGGAAGAACATCAGCAGATGGGGGCTCTCTCTTTGATACAAACAGAAATGAATACGCACAGACGTAAATAAGTAAATTTGTAAAGTCTAAGAGCCTAAATGAAAGGAAAAAATCCAATCAGCAAAAAGCGCATGTTTCTGCAAAGAGGAAACAGCACCGCTGCCCAAAGGACCCCAAGCCTGAGACACTGCCGAGAGGCCGTGCTGACCATCAGGGAGAGGCTGTGCTGACCGTCGGGGAGAGGCAGTGCTGACCGTCGGGGAGAGGCTGTGCTGACCGTCAGGGTGAGGCTGTGCTGACCGTCGGGGAGAGGCTGTGCTGACCGTCGGGGTGAGGCTGTGCTGACCGTCGGGGTGAGGCTGTGCTGACCGTCGGGGAGAGGCTGTGCTGACCGTCGGGGTGAGGCTGTGCTGACCGTTGGGGTGAGGCCGTGCTGACCGTCGGGGAGAGGCCGTGCTGACCATCGGGGAGAGGCCGTGCTGACCGTCGGGGTGAGGCCGTGCTGACCGTCTGGGTGAGGCTGTGCTGACCGTCGGGGTGAGGCTGTGCTGACCGTCGGGGTGAGGCTGTGCTGACCGTCGGGGTGAGGCTGTGCTGACCGTCGGGGTGAGGCTGTGCTGACCGTCGGGGAGAGGCCGTGCTGACCATCGGGGAAAGGCTGTGCTGACCGTCGGGGTGAGGCTGACTCTCACTGTCTAACTGGCCACATGACAGCACAAGAAGCATGCATTCTCATTCTACGTCACTTCTCAATCCTGTCATAACATCTACGACTGTGCATTAAGTAACCAGCTGTACCAACCCATGTCTCAGATCACGGGACGCACGCAAGAAACCACATAAACTGAAACACAGAACCCAGCACGCCGCCCTGGAGATCTGCCACGGGCTCCCTGGCACTGTCCAGCAGTCCCCTGGAAGCCAAGACTGCTGCACTGACGGCCAGTTCTCTCCTCAGCCAAGGGGGCGCTGAATTCCTAACAGCTCCAAGGCTGCAGCCACACGGCCCGGCCCAGGGGCAGGAGAGGCATGTCTGAACGGCAGGAGGAACTCAGAGCGGGAGAGGCGAGGATTCACAGCCGCTAAGGAACTCAGAGCGGGAGAGGCGAGGATTCACAGCCGCTAAGGAACTCAGAGCGGGAGAGGCGAGGATTCACAGCCGCTAAGGAACTCAGAGTGGGAGAGGCGAGGATTCACAGCCGCTAAGGAACTCAGAGCGGGAGAGGCGAGGATTCACAGCCGCTAAGGAACTCAGAGCGGGAGAGGCGAGGATTCACAGCTGCTAAGGAACTCCAGAGAAAACAATACACGACCCGCAAAGCAAGCAATGACGCAGAAGACAGTGTCGAGAGCTTATCTAACTTCAGTAGCACGACAGACTCTGAGATGTTACCCACTATAGACTAAGAACCCGAAGCTTGGAGCTCAAGTCGATTGTAGTACAATCCAAGATTCCCTTTAGATGAAAACAGTAACACTCATTTCAAATTAGAAAGTAAAGGATTAGCTCCTATGATACGGCTTTACAATTCCTCCAAATAAAACAAACTGAAAATGCAGGGCACAGGCCAGCTCACAGTGGGGTACATGGGGGTCAGAGGTCAGCTCACAGTGGGGTACATGGGGGTCAGAGGTCGGCTCACAGGGAGGCACACGGGGGGGGGGGGAGAGGCCAGCTCACAAGGGGGCACATGGAGGTCACAGGTCAGCTCACAGAGGGGCATGTGGGGGGCACAGCTCAGCTCACAGGGGAGCACATGGAGGTCAGAGGTCAGCTCACAGGGGAGCACACAGACGCCACAGCTGAGCTGACCAGGGGTGGTAATGGAGGCAATGTCCCTGAAGAAAAGATCACTGGCTGGAAATCCAGATTTGGAGCCACTTCCATCTGCCCACCTGTGATCAGGCAAGGCTCTTCTTTGTTTTTAATTTTTAAAAATTTGTTTATTTAATTTGTTTATTTAATTTTTTTAACATTTATCTGAAAGACAGAGTTTCATAGAGATGTAGAGCCAGAGAGATAAAGGTCTTCCATCTGCTGGTTCATTCCCCAAATCGCCTGAACAGCCAGAGCTGAGCTATTCCAAAGCCAGGAGCCAGTAACTTCTTCCAGGTCTCCCACATGAGTGCAGGGGCCCAAGCACTTGGGCCATCTTCCACTGCTTTCCCAGGCCACAGCAGAGAGCTGGGTGGGAAGTGGAACAGCCAGGACTCAAACTGGCATCCATATGGGATACCACTGCAGGCCAGGGCTTTAGCCCACTGTGCCACAGCACCAGCCCCCAGGCAAGGTTCTTCACTTACCCTTCATACATGAGAAGATGGACAGAGCTCAGGCCTCCTCCTTGCTTCCTCTAAGGGGCCTTCCTCACACAGGAGAAGCATCCAGAAGTCCCTGCACAGTCCCAGGGCTGTCCAGGGCTTCCTGAGAAGCCACCAACTGTGTCACCACGTGACGGCGTCATGCCCCCCCCTCCACTCCACGTGCATTTGTGGAGTCATCAGGAAACGTCCGCCCCCTGGTAGCCACTGTGACCCAGAACACTGCGACTCCCAGCGTGGAGCAGACACACGGCTTCCACCACACAAACCAACAGCTAAATTAGGACGCACATCTGTGAAGCACACAAAACGTTCCCCAAACAGATCCAAGGAGAGCTCTGCAAGGTACAGAAAAACAAGACACGCTCTCCTCGACACTCCGGCTGCTTGACTCCAGTGTCACATCCCCAGTGCGGCGAAGCTGCTTCCTTCACTCTCTATGCTCCGCTGACGCCAGGAGATGCACACTGCAGGGCAACGCAAGGGGGCGCGAGAAACGTGCACTGCTGGGCCAGGAAGGAACAGCTTTGCAAAGCCACGAGTGCTAACTGCATACATACCAACGACCCCCACATCACACACAAGTACAGCCAGCACTGCGGGAGGTCACTCCAGACGTCTGCATGACTGCCCGACACCCGCCCCGTAGAACTCGCCACCAGACGTCAGGGGTCAGGGATGCAGGGTGGCTCCAGAGCACTGTCAGCTGTTGGATGACCCAGAGAGGATTCGGCACTCTGCATTTGTACACACTGAGCCTGTGCGGGAACAGCTGGCTCGCTCCCCGCACTGAGGAAGAGCTGAGTTCTCCCAGGTCACTCCTCTCGGCAAATCACGAGCTGTGGGCCCAAAGAGCTTCACGCGGCACCTTGTTCAGGCGGCACCTGCTGACCGCTACTGTTTGTAGGTGTCCACAGTCTGACGCCCCACTGAGTCCACTACTTCCCTGGGGCTATGCTGTGCTAAGATGCTGACCTCGATGGGAATGGACATTGTGGTGTCTGGAGATAATTTTCCACTGCATGTTCCAGCGTGTGTCTACAAGCACACTACCATCCTCAAAGCTCTCACTTTCAGTAACATTTACAGAGAAGTAGGACCCAGGATGAACTGCACTCACCAAAGTTACAGACTGACACACACTCTGCACGCTGTATTTTAAAATAGATCTGGAGAGTTCTCATTTTTCTCCGTATGTAAGCACTAAAATCATATTTTACTGAATAAAATAAAATATTTCCAAAAGCAGTAGGCTGCCAAGTTTGGTGAAAACATGTTGAAATGGATCTAAGGGACATCACGAAGGGGAACAGAAGCCCACTCCCCTGACCCCTACTCCCCAGGCCCCTGCTTGTCCCCAGCACATGCACTCTGTGGCCATTAGCACGACAGGACATCCTGGGACACCACGTGCCATTGGTTCCACACCAGGCATGTGTGGGAACTGGAAATGAACATGAGAATAAAACGAACTACTGAACTTTTCCTGGAAAGAAAACTACATGCTTTGGAGAGAGTTCATCAAGACAGACGCTTTACAAATCCTGCTGGCAGGGATGGGTGTCATGTACAACAGGTGAAGCCCCAGCTTGGACAGCCACACCCACAGTGGAGTGCTGCGACCAAGGCCAGGCTCCGCTTCTGATCTGTTTTTAATGCACCTGGGAGGCAGTGGATGATGGCCTAAGTACTTGGAGATCCTGACTTGTGGCTTGGGCTTAGCCCAGTCCTGGCTGCTACAAGCATTTGGGAAGTGAACCAGCAGATGGGAAGTCTCTCTCCTGTCTCTCCTCCTTGCTGTGCCACTCAGCCTTTCAAACAAACAAATAAATAAAACTAAAAAAAAAAAAAAAAAAAAATCCCACTTCCAAATTAGGTGTAAACAAGACAAAAAGATGCCGCACGCCAAGTGCGTTATGAAGATCCCCACGCCGAGGCCACTGGGAGGAGCCAGAACAGCGAAGGCCGACGCACTACGCGCACGAGCACAGGCAACGCACAAAGCAATGCTGTCTGTCCTCTGCAGGGAAGACTCACTGTGAACGATGCGTGGGAGCTGTACAAAGCAGCCAGGTATCAACTGTTTTACACAATTTTTCATTAATAACTGGCTACAAATACCAGTTAACTGTTATTGTTTGTGTGTAAGATTAATTTGGGGAGGGAAAAGACTGCCATTGCTTTCTACCCAGGGTTTAATTTTTTCTCTAAACTGGGACTCATAAGCTGCTGGACATTTGCAAAACTTAACTGAAGTGACAGCTCCACTCTCTGGTGTTCACAAGCATTTATAACTCTGTACAGTAATGGGACAAAGACCACCCTACCACATGACGGGAAGCCTGCACAGAGCTTCTGGGTGCTTTCCACAGCCACTTGGCTTCCTGCAGCCTCTCCAGAGCACCGGGAGGAGGTGCTGACCAGGGGTCCCAGTGAGAAGCAGCAGACAAGGAACCGCACCCGAAGCTCCCTGACGGTGCGAAGTCCTGTACCTGGGTAAGCCCTCCCAGCCAGTCCTTCCTGGAGGCGGTCACACTCCTCTGCACTTTTCAGTGCTCGTGAGCACAAAGGTGACAAGCGACCAACACCAGGGGCACTCAGGAGAAGCGCAGCACCGCACACACACCAGGGCCGCATGCGAAACGCACACTGCTTCTTTCTGAAGGCACAAAGCCTGCTACACTGCAGGGACTAACAACTGAAAGTTAATCTGATCAGCAAAGTAGCTTTCTTAAAAATTATTCACCTGTATTTCCAACATTGAAATTCACAGATCTACAATGGAAGGAGGAAGGTCACTGAATTACAGAAAATTCATGGCTAACTTCTGCTGTCTAATCACAGCATGTCATCCAAAAGCAACGCCCCATCTAAAACATAAACTCTCAAATTTCTCACATACTAAAACGAATAAAGACACTCCCTAAAATAAAGAGGGTTTTGATTTCTTCTAAACAACTTTCCTTTCAATTCCACTGTTAACCTTTACAGGCACTGCACTGACGAAGAACTAAGACCCCAGACAGACCTCCCGGGGGAAGTGGCCAAGGATTCTGTCCCTCACAAAGAAACAGGGCTGCTGGTTTCTACTGAGGTGGTGTTGATTTCTAGCAGGCGGTTTTCATATTTTTAACAACTATCTCATAGATGGTTATGAAGCTTAAACGAACTACTATCCAATGTGTCAATATTTAACAACTGCTACATAACACCAGGTTCACAGGGAGGGCTGTAACCAAATTAAGCACTGGTGCTGGGCTAGGAAGAGCTCATAGCTACAGATGGCAAGCGTGAAGTGCACAGCAGACAGTCCGACAACACCGAGCTGAGAGCCCGCCAGCAGCTCCGGGGACCGCGGTCAAGAAGAGACACACAAGGGGAAAACAGAACTCAGAAGGCCAGAGTCCGGGACAGGCAGGGACAGCCTTGTGATCGAGGCTTGCAGTTGTCAATCACAAGTGAGCTCTACTGCCACACGGCGCCAGAAGCTGTCGCTGACGCTTCCCAGCGTTCTACCAGCTTTGCATTTCCTGTGCCATCTGTGTGGCTGCGGAAGACACAAGCAGCAGCACCGCGGTGCCCACTGTCCTCGCGCACACGCTGACGCCGCTCAGCGATCTCCCAGTCGAATGGAACGCCACACCCACGAACTCACATCACCTCCTCGTTGCTAACCAAGACACTTTCACCAGAGGCAGCGAAATCTCTAAGAATAAAACCACAATAATTAAGTCACCCACTCTCCTCAAAATCTGACAGGACAAACCACCATTTCCCCCTGCACCACTAGATTTGGACTGCATCACATCACGTCCACTACACCTGGACAGCCCACGCGAAGTACACAGCCTTACTGAGCACAACCTCCGATTCCTGCTGAGTGCTATGGGAAGAGGTTCAAGTCAGACAGATGGACGCTGCCGTTGAAAGGCCGTGCAGGACGGTGACTCACTAACCAGAGATCGTCAGCGTGATTTCCTGTGGAGACCCCGAGGAGGACGTGGTGGTGGGCCCAGCAGCCTGCGCCAGGACCTGGCTCAAACTCGAGTTGTTAATGGTCAGGGTGATCTCGTGCGGACCAGTGGAGGTGGACACCAGACCTTGGGAAGCCATCGCCTGAGTGAGGTCTTGAGTTCCTGGTCATGATCACAAAGCAAAACAAAACCAAGCTTGAAAACACACATTTCCCCCTTCGATAGGCCAAAATATTTTACTTCAGTCACTACTTCAAAAAGAGAAAGATTCAAAATGAAACAGCAGTCATCTCTTATTACTTCAGGCAGAAAGACGGGTGCAAGGCCACCACACGGTCCTGACACCACCCACGTGACTCGAAGCAAGAGAGAAGCAAACAGCTCGTACCACTGCTGCTGGTGGCCAGCACAGAGTCGTGCTCAGACAGCGTGCCGAGGGTCAGGTTGGCGGACGTCACCGTGGGCTGCAGGGACAGGCCTGAGATGGGCTGGATGACAACGCTGGCGGGCACAGTGCTGTCCCCTGTCTGGACAGAGCTGTTGTGTGGGGCCACGCCAGGCTCCCCCGTGAGCTGCTGAGTGAGCACGCTGCCCTGCTGGAGCGTCTGCTGCAGAATACTTGGATCGATCTGTAAGGCAACACCGACGCTCGTCGTGAAAAGTCCGTGCTTTCCGTGCTCCAGACAACACAAAAGCAAGGGGCTGCCAGCAGCTGTCATACCTGCAGTGTGATGTTATTAATGCTGGCAGCATCGATCCCAGAAATCTGAACGTTTGGTCCAACCAAGTTAGCAGCCAACTGCAGCTGGATGCCTTCCAGGGCGGCCAAGCTCCCATCTGTCAAAGACACGGTCAAATCACCTCCAGCTGGGCAGAGAAAGAGAAAGGGAGCGGCTGAGTATTGCCGACATTCTCAACGCTGAAGTCGTTCTCCACATGGCAATTTTTATGTCTTTATTGTTTTCAAGTTTATTTACAGGAGAGTCAGAGACACCAGAGGGGGAAACAGCGAGAAAGATGGACAGCAGAGACACAGTGAGCTCCCCGCCGTCGGTTCACTCCCCGATGCCCACCACAGCAAGGGCTGGGCAGGCCAACGTCAGGAGCCACTGCTCGATTCCAACCTCCCACACGGGTGGCAGGAACCCAGTCACCCGAGCCTTCACTCTGTCTCCTAGAGTCTGAATTAGCAGGAAACTAAATCAGGAGCCAGAGCCAGGAGCGGAGCCCGGGCGCCCCCTGTAGGATGCAGGCATCGTACAGTGTCGTAACCTCTAGGCCAAGCACCTGCCGCACAGGAGGACTTTTAAATGAGTAAGTTTCATAATACTGCAACGTGATCTAATTAAGGACTACTGATGCATGCTCCGTACTACACATACATGCGCACACACTCGTGATCTGATTTACCCATCGCAAAGCAAACTCTGTAAAAGAGATAACAATACTGCTCATTTCAAACTGTCAGGGGCCGGTGCTGTGGCACAGTAGGTTAAGCATCTGCCTCAGGCGCCAGCATGCCATGTGGGTGCCAGCTGCAGTCCCGGCTGCTCCAGCTCTCTGCTATGGCCTGGGAAGGCAGCACAAGATGGCCCAAGTGCTTGGGCCCCTGCTCCCATGTGGGAGACCAGGAAGAAGCTCCTGGCTCCTGGCTTCAGATTGGGGTTGCAGTCATCTGGGGAGCGAATCAGTGGATGGAAGATATCTCTGTCTCTGCCCCTCAGTCTGTAACTATGCCTCTCAAGTAAATAAATAAATTTTAAAAAAGGTCAGAAAGTGGCTCAGAGAAACCCCACTGATAGGCTCTATCCAGCATAGTCCCAGAAGACTGCACAAGTCCCAGAGGCAGAAGGCAAGGCCCAGCGTGGCACCTGATCACTACCGAGAGCTGCCATTGTCACGGGAAGGCCACCGTAAACCCAACAGGCCCTCTGTGACCCAGCGGTCACAGCAGCACTCAGGAGCATCTGTCAACCGCACAGCTCACTACTAAATCCACGAGTGCCAGGTGAGAAACGCAGGTGCAAACGCACAGGCGCCACAGAGAAACAAGGCCAGGGTACAAAAGGCGGCAGTGCTGGAGGCAGAACAGAGCATGGGGGGCGGGGAGACAGGCGTCCTGCTGCGGGCCGGGCGGGGGTCGCGGGCCCAGGGCTCACCTGACACGGAGGCGGGGAGAACAGCCTGGCCCACCAGCCCCGGCTGAAGCAGACTCTGCTCGAGCTGCCCGGTGAGGACAGAGTTGTTCATGATAAACACGCTGGGGTCGGAGGAGGCGGCGCTGAGCAGGCTGACGGGCTGCAGGCCCTCCGAGGAGCCTGGAGCCGCCGGCTTCCGGGCCTTCTTGGGGTCGGGCTTGTAGTGGAACTGCATGTGTGTCTTCCTCCGGCCGGACGTGCGGAAGCGCAGCTCACAGTGCGGGCACTTGAAGGGCTTGGCTCCCGTGTGCAGGCGCATGTGCACTTTCAGACTCCCCTTCGTGGAGAACGCGTTGCTGCACACGTGACAGCTGAAGAGCTTCTGACCTGCGGACGGACAGCCGGGTCAGCGGGGCCAGGACCACGGCCACCTTCAGACGCCCCGCCCAGCAGGCTGTGAGGCCGCCAAGGTGCTGAGCCCATGGACACGGGGCTGCAGGGAGCTCTCTCACCCCGGGACGCTATGCATTCCACAGCCCGCAGCCTGCAGGACACTGAGCCCTGATTGGCGGATGCCACTCCCCGGTACGGAAGCCACCAGGGCGGCCACTCAGTGCACTCGGCACCACTGCCACTTCTGCCTGGTTTCAGAGGGGGCACCCGAGCGTCGTGGCACCTCTCGCTTTCTCTTCCGGACAGTGTACAGGGCCAGCGCTCACTGCGGGGTCCCAGGCCTGTGGCTCACGTGTCCTGTGCCCAGACTGCCAGGTGTCAACAGCTCTGATGCGGCTCTGAAGAGCCCGTCCAGGACACAAGAGCCAGCCCTTACTGCCAAGGGCTAGTGACACTGTGCTCCCAGCCCTGTTCTGGGGCCCAGAAATCCAACCTTCCTTCCACAGTGGGGCCGGGGTGGCAGGCGGGGTTCCACAGAGACGTGCTCGCCAGTGGGGGAAGCAGGTGCCAGGCGCCGCTGGGAGTCAGGAATCCGCGCGCTGGCTGACAGCCCGTGCCCTCACGGCTAGCAGGCTCTCAGTGCTGCCCAAGGAGACAGGCTAAGGAAGCTAAGGCCTCTGCACACGGGATAGCCAGACCACATCACCTCACCACCCCATGAGGTGTAACCTCCACGTGCATCCACTTGTTCAGGCTGAGAATATAAACTCCACCGATCAGCGTAACCCTAGGACTCACAACACTCCTGGCCCGTGATGGTCACAAACAGCTCGCCAGACACAGACTCTCCCGTGGCAACTGGAACTGCATCTGAACGCCATGCAGGGCAGGGCAGCAGCCCGCTCACCAGCAATCTGCCTCCTAGGTGGCGTCCCGTCGAGGACCGCGAGGCTGCGCAGCCAGTGTGGGAGCCACACTCGGCAGAGGTGGGGAACTGGCCTCGAGCCGCCCAGCCTCCTACTGGGAGCCGTGCAACGACCTTTCAGCTCCTTAGACAGTAATCCTGTCCCACGTGGGGTTTTTCTCCCCATAAACACAACTGCAGCCCAAGAGCTGCCATGGGATCTGCTGAGTCCACAGGTTTTGGACAGCCCTGGCCTAGATGAGACTCAGGGGAGACCTTGTTCACAGGAGAACTCAAAGCAAGCGTCGCTCAGAGACTGGCGATTGCATACGTCACTGCAGCCCACGCTCCCTGTCACACCACTGCTCATTTCCAGAGAACGATGTGCACCACACACAGAGACAAAGCCTCACATTCAGGATCTGCCAACAACGCAGGGGTTTGCTCTTACCTGTGTGTGTCTTCACGTGGCAATCAAGGGTGGATTTGACGGTAAAGCTCTTCCCACACTCATCACACTTATATGGCTTTTCTCCCGTGTGGATTCGAACATGCCTATCCAAAAGATATTTGCAAGTTAAGTGGTTTTCTTTTTAAATATATACATCAAGACACAGCTTCACAGGGCTGGTACTGCGGCACAGCAGGTCAAACAACCACCTGCAATGCCAGCATCCCATATGGCTGCCAGTTCAGGTCCCAGCTGCTCCACTTCTGATCCACCTTTCTGTTAATGTGCCTGAGGAAGCGGAAGATGGCCCAAGTGTCTGGGTCCCTGCCACCCACGAGGGAGACCTGGAAGGAGCTCCTGACTTTGCTTGGCCCAGTCCTGGCCATTGCGGCCATCTGGAGAGTGAACCAAGAAATAGAAGATCTTTTTCTCTCTCTCTCTGTAAACTCTCTGCCTTGCCAATAAATAAAAAGAAACTTAAGGAAAAACTTAATGATTTTAAATTTATAATTAACCACAAAAAAATAAAATTATATTGCTGTCTGCTGCTTAAATTTGGCCAAATAAAATTCTGAGCTTCACTCTATTAAAAAAAAATAAATAAATAAACAACTGATCCAAATAACAAAGACCAAAAAATACTTGCAAGACAAAGGAAAACAGGGTCATTTTCATAAAAACCAAAGAGCTCCTACAGATCAGCCAGGAGACAGCACCTATCAGCACCGAAAACAAGGTCAGGGCACAGGTCTGGGAGGACAGCCAGCCAAAAGGCCGGTGCCAGGGGCTCCCAGGGACCCGAGGACCTCCCGGGGCACAGGAGGTGCCTGGATGCCCTGAGGGCATCACCAGCGGTCTGGAGACAGATGGAGCACCACGTTCACAGGACACCCTGAGCGATACACACGCCGATGCGAAGGACGCATGGATACGTAAGGATGGAAGAAGGAAAGGGTTTACCACTGACGTCTGTGTAAACACTGACTGCTTGTACATGGAGCAGACACCTGTTTACCTCAGGCTGTGCTGGACCACGACACGCAATGAAGGGGCTGAGGCTGCCCTGGGTTAAAATGAGCAAGAGATAAGCAGTACCCCGGCCGCCAGGCTCAGCCAGGCTTCCTGTCCCTTCCACCTTCCTCGGAGACACCACGGTGCTTATGTCCCACCCCTCGTCACTTGCCGGCCTTAGCCTGGCAGGTGTCCACCACAGGTGCTGCCTCAAAACATATCCAAACTGGCTCCTGGGCCTGGCATAGCGCTCCTCTGTGACCCACCAATAACCCACTGGTGAAGCCAACTCTCCCGGTCAGCTTGTTCCTCACTCCTCACTGATCCCTGGCCACAGGCAGCCGCAGGCCACGCTGGACTCCCACTTATACAACACCCGAACTCCTTTGTCACAAGGCCCCGGACCTCTCCTTCCTCTAACTTTCTGGTTGTACTCTGCAGCCTCAGAGCACACATCAGCTTCCACGATGCCTACTCAGGACTGCACCCACGGACCCAACAGAGCGCAGTCCACAGGCTCTCTAGGCCCCACGACCGGGATTCCTCTCTGTGCTCTCACCCCCAGTGAGCCTCCGAATGGAACCGTGGAGGCGCTGTCAGCTGAGACGTTCCCTAGACAGCCACGCTGTCCTGGTGCTGCCCGGGCCTCTGGAACAGGAGCACGCACAAGGTGCCCTACGCAGTCCTCTGTAGCTGCCTGCTGTGCTACTGCCGCCCTACAATCTTGGTTCCTTTTATTAAATACTTTCATTCACTTGTTCTGACTCCTAGAGCAAAAACGAAGCATCCTTCTTTCGTCTGAGCAACTATTCTAGTATTCAGGAGAAAAGCTGGACGCTGCTTCTTCCTTCCTCCATTCCAAACGCACCAACAGCCCCTTCTGTCCTGGGCCCCTGCCGTCCACCACCATGCGCCTGGTTTTCCAGCCTCCCCAGCACTGTGTGGACCCGGACTCATGTGCCGCTCACTGCTGACTGGCTGGCGGCCTCCTGCCACCTCCTCCTGAGCCCGACTCGCCGGGCCTGCCTCTGCGCTCCTTGCACAGACCAGGGGTCTCTGGGGCAGGACGGTGTCTGCTGCTCCTGCGCACACCTACAAGCCTAGCACCACATCTTCCTCGACAAATAAACTCGTCCTGGGGTGGACACTGTGGTGCAGCAGGTTTAGCAGTCCCCTGTGATACCCACATCCCACAGCCCCTAGAACAGAGGTCCACCTCTGTTTCCGGTCCAGCTTCCTGCTAACGGGCAACGTGGGAGACAGCAGATGGCACTCAAATGCTGGGGTCTCTGACCCCACAGAGGAGACCTGGAGCTCCTGGCTCCTCGCTCTGGCCTGGTCCAGCCCCAGTCATGGCCAGCTGATGGGAGATCCTGCTCTCTGTCTCTATCATCCTCTGTCAATTTACCTTTCAAATACATAACAATAAGCGAATTTTCTAAGTCCTCATTTACTAGAACTTCCACACCACAGGAAATAAGCACAGCAGCCTCCAGACGCCAGTTTCCTGGTGAACACTCAGAGGGAGCTCGCGTGGCAGCAGCCACCCCTTGTCCCTGCGCCGGGAGGGATCCGCCCGGGGTGTGTCTGCGGCCACACCCTTGTCCCTGTGCCAGGAGGGATCCGCCTGGGGTGTGTCTGCGGCCACGCCCTTGTCCCTGTGCCAGGAGGGATCTGCCCAGGGTGTGTCTGCGGCCACGCCCTTGTCCCTGTGCCAGGAGGGATCCGCCTGGGGTGTGTCTGCGGCCACGCCCTTGTCCCTGTGCCAGGAGGGATCCGCCCGGGGTGTGTCTGCGGCCACGCCCTTGTCCCTGTGCGGGGGGGGGGGGGGGGGGGGTGGGGGGTGGGGGGTGGGGTGGGGGTGGGGTGGGGGGGGGATCCGCCCGGGGTGTGTCTGCGGCCACCCCTTGTCCCTGTGCCGGGGGGGGGGGGGGGGGGGGGGGGTGGGGGGGGGATCCGCCCGGGGTGTGTCTGCGGCCACACCCTTGTCCCTGTGCCAAGGGGGATACGCCCAGGGTGTGTCTGCAGCCACCCCTTGTCCCTGTGCCGGGAGGGATCCCCCAGGGGTGTGTCTGCGGCCACGCCCTTGTCCCTGTGCCAGGAGGGATCCGCCCGGGGTGTGTCTGCACTCCTCGGGGTGTGTCTGCAGCCACCCCTTGTCCCTGTGCCGGGAGGGATCCGCCCGGGGTGTGTCTGCGGCCACGCCCTTGTCCCTGTGCAGGAGGGATCTGCCAGGGGTGTGTCTGCACTCCTCAGGGTGTGTCTGCGGCCGCACCTCACCAGGTCGCTGGGCTTCTTAAAGCTCTTGGGGCAGTAGGTGCAGCAGTTGGCGTGCTTGGGCTCGGCCTCCAGCTCCGCCTGCTCGTCTTTCATCTCACTGATGCGGTCCTTCTCGGCGGCCGACTGCACCAGCACCTTCTCAGACACAGTGGCGCTTTCCTGGGGCCGGATCCTGGCCAGCTGCGCCGTCTCCTCCTCGGTGAACGTGATGACCTCAGGGCGAGACTTTCTGGGCACGGTTCTGTCGGAACTGTCTTCCTCCTCCATCCCCATGTCTAAATCAAACACAGCGATATGGATCACATTGCTAGTGAAGAGTCACTCGGCAGTAAGGAAGCAGAGCTGAAGTCAGTAACTCCATCAGCTCTTCCCACCATTGCTTTGCTGGACAACGAAACAAGGACATGGGGGGAAACAGCCAACACCAGGGCTGCCTGGTGGGGGCGTGTGTGTGTGTGGGGTGTGTGTGTATGTGTGTAGGTGACTGCCAACATCAGTTAGGGACATGTGTGTGTGTTTGTCGGGGGAGTGACTACCAATACCAGGAGCTGCCTGGCGGAGGCGTGTGTGCATGCGTGTGTGTGTGTGTGTGTGTGTGTGTATGTGGTGACTGTCTATACCAGGAGCTGCCTGGCAGGGTGTGTGTGTGTGTGGTGACTGGTGACTGCCTACACCTGGGGCTGCCTGGCGGGGCATGTGTACCTGGGTTGGGGTGGTGCCTGCCTACACCAGCAGGTGCCAGGGTGAAAGCTCTATGAGCAGCCCGACGGCAGGTGCACAGTGGGCTCTGAAACCATCCACGTGTGCACTGGCTGCCTGTGCTCATTTACCACTGAGGGCACAAAATGATTTATCATCAGGTAAAGAAAACCAGGAGCCTAAAAATGGGAACCAAAACTAAGAAATCAACAAAGAGCTTCTACTTAAAAGACTTACTGTAAAAAAGAAAATAAAAGTTAAAAAATACATATGTACAGGGGCCAGTGCTGTGGCACAGTGGGTTAATGCCCCAGCCTGAAGCACTGACACCCCATATGGGCTGCTAGTCCTGGCTGCTCCTCCTCCAATCCAGCACTCTGCTGTGGCCTGGGAAAGCAGTAGAAGGTGGCCCAAGTCCTTGAACCCTTGCACCCACGTGGGAGACCCCGAAGAAGCTCCTGGCTCCTGGCTTTGGATCGGCTCAGCTCTGGCCACTGCAGCAATTTAGGGAGCAAACCAGCAGACAGAAGACCTCCCCCCCTCCCCCGTCTCCACTGTAACACTTTAATATAAATAAAAATAAAAATTGAAATACATATATGTGTGTATGTGTGTTTTTCTTAGCAAAATGTAAGGGTGTATTTCAGTTGGGTAAAGGCAAGAATGAACTGCTCTTACAACGTCACAGGGAGCGGGCAGCAGGTCCCTGAGGTGCCCACAGCCTGTGATGCAGCACCTGGGCTTGAGTCCCAACTCCACTCCAGATTCTCACTTCCTGCTGGGAGGCAGCAGGTGACACCCAAGTAGCTGGGTCCCTGCCACCCACAGGGGAGGCCTGGACTGAATTCCAGGTTCCTGGCTCCGCCTGGCTCAGCCCTAGCTGCCTAAGCATGAGGAAAGAAGCTGTGACGTAACATCTTTGTCTCTCTGCCTATCAGATAAAATGAAAAAAAAAATGAATATAAATTAAGAAAACATACATCACAGAGGAAAATGAACTCTGGGCGCAGGGAAGTCATCACTGCATAACAGACTAAAAAAATTAAAATGCAACAGAAAGACAAAATGAGCAGTAATTAAAAATGAGTCAGTTAGCTGAACAAACGGGATAGTCCTTTGTAGAACATACAGGGAAAACCAACAAGAGAGAGAGAGGGGAGGGAGGAAGGCAGGAGACAGTCAGTCACAGGCACAAGGCCAGACACTCAACACCTACTGCTAGAATTCCAGAGAGAACAGCCAGCCAAAATTCCATCTCCCTCCTGCAGAACCTGGGGCAGAGTCTACTCAGGTCTCCACCAGCACAGGGCGACCAGGGAGAAATGTGTAGATGAGTGAAGGGAATCCCTGCGAGAACACAGACCACAGAAGGGACAAAGAGGCGCAGAGACAGGAGCACACTCACAGACACACACGGGACAGGAACAGTGACAGAGAGCACAGTAACAGACACACATGGCACAGGACAGGAGCACACTGAGTAACAGACACACACGGGACAGGACAGGGAGCACAGTGAGTAACAGACACACACGGGACAGGCCAGGAGCACACTGAGTAACAGACACACACGGGACAGGACAGGGAGCACAGTGAGTAACAGACACACATGGCACAGGACAGGAGCACACTGAGTAACAGACACACATGGTACAGGACAGGGAGCACAGTGAGAAACAGACACACACGGTACAGGACAGGAGCACACTGAGTAACAGACACACACGGGACAGGACAGGGAGAACACTGAGTAACAGACACACACGGGACAGGACAGGGAGCACAGTGAGTAACAGACACACACGGGACAGGACAGGGAGCACAGTGAGTAACAGACACACACGGGACAGGACAGGGAGCACACTGAGTAACAGACACACACGGGACAGGACAGGGAGCACACTGAGTAACAGACACACACGGGACAGGACAGGGAGCACAGTGAGTAACAGACACACACGGGACAGGACAGGGAGCACAGTGAGAAACAGACACACATGGTACAGGACAGGAGCACACTGAGTAACAGACACACACGGGACAGGACAGGATCACACTGAGTAACAGACACACACGGGACAGGACAGGGAGCACAGTGAAAACAGACACACACGGGACAGGACAGGGAGCACACAGAGTAACAGACACACACGGGACAGGACAGGGAGCACAGTGAGTAACAGACACACACGGTACAGGACAGGGAGCACACTGAGTAACAGACACACACGATACAGGACAGGAGCACACTGAGTAACAGAAACACACGGGACAGGACAGGAGCACACTGAGTAACAGACACACACCGGACAGGCCGGGAGCTCATCGAGTAACAGATACACACGGTACAGGACAGGGAGCACACTGAGTAACAGACACACACGGTACAGGACAGGGCGCACAGTGAGTAACAGACACACATGGTATAGTACAGGGACAGGGAGCACACTGAGTAACAGATACACACGGTACAGGACAGGGCGCACAGTGAGTAACAGACACACATAGTATAGGACAGCGACAGGGAGCACAGTGAGTAACAGACACACACAGGACAGGACAGGAGGAGGGCAGGGATATTACACTAAAAAGGCACAACTGGGACAGCGAAAGGAAGTCCAAACCCCTCCACAGCCATAGTGAGCTCAGGGAAAACAAAACGACTTAGCAAGCAATTTCTCTGCCGTGGGAAAGATTCCACGCAAGGTTGTACACGGCTGCTGGTGAGGCCCTAACAGTCCCCAGTCACTGGCTCCGTGGCCCTGCAGCTTCCTGAGCTGATGGGGACAAGTAGTTAAGTTGGAGACGCTGCACTTGAATGTCAGTGAGCAGTTAGCTCTCTCCAAACTACAGGTTCTGGACGCAGTACGTGCACGTCCAACACTCGAGGCCTTCACTCCCGCTGTCTGCTCGGAGCTGTCTATGGAAGACGTGGCGTGCGCGGCTGCTCTGCCACGTCACCCTGTGGTTTGGTTATTTGAATGCATGGCAAGGAAACTGTCAGGACTCACTCCTCCCCTGCAGAGACACTGGGGACGCTGGACACTCTGACTGCGACCTCAAGTCCAAAGGGACTCAAAGTAGCTGTAGGACAAGCAACTGAGGGGAGAAGGCCGGAGTCACAGCAGATGTGATGGTGCCTCAGCTCCACGTGCTCATCCCCTCAACTCCACAAACAACTCCACAAATCAGAAAATGAGACCGGAGAACACTCTAAAGTCCAGGGTGCTACTACGTCTAAGCCACACCCAGCCAGGCTGGATCTGGACAGAAATTCACTCCTAAGTCAGCATCCACCTAGCGAGCCAGGGCCCAAGCGGGAAGTACCTCCTGCTTCCACCTCCCCCGCTGTGGGCGCCGCCGGGGCCACTGCCTGATGCCTCTTCATGTGCTTCTTGCAGTGGACGGTGGTCCGGAAGCCCTCCTCGCAGAAGGGACACTTGTAGGCCTTCATGCTCATGTGTGTCGCCATGTGCCGCGTGAGGCTGCCGTTGGTGGTGAACGAGGTGTTGCAGAGACTACAGCTGAACGCCTTGACCCCTGGGCAGCACAGCAGGACAGAGACGGCAGAGAGAAACCACATCTGTTAGCTGACGGCTGTCGGCAGTGAGAAGTGAGCCCAGACACCACTAATGAGCCACCGCGGTGCAGACACTGCGTGTGCTGGGGTTCCCAGTTTTCAGGAATGGGCTGCTCTAAGAACTTGGCCAGTGCAAGCTGCAGCCGCCCAGAAGTGTGTCCTCAGACAACTCAGGGCTTCTTTGTCCTCTTCCACTTCTACCCCATCCAAGGAGAGACTGTGCAAACCCATTCTCTCCTCAGACCCACGGCCAGTGACCCAGCCGAGGCCCTACAAGTAGTCTACACAGCTTCTACACAGCTCCCACACGGCTCCCACCAGGAGAATCTACACAGCTTCCACACGGCTCCCACCAGGAGAAGTCTACACAGCTCCCACACGGCTACCACCAAGAGAAGTCTACACAGCTCCCACACGGCTCCCACATGGCTCCCACCAGGAGTAGTCTACACAGCTCCCACACGGCTCCCACATGGCTCCCACCAGGAGAAGTCTACACAGCTCCCACCTGGCTCCCACCGGAAGTAGTCTATACAGCTCCAACATGATTCCCCTCTCCCATCAGCTGAGGCCCCAGCAGTGTACACAGCGATCTGCCTCAGCAGCTGGGGGCCCACTGCCAGGACAGTTCAGCCTGGCCCTGGTGAGGGCACAGGCCCCTCTCTGCCTCCTCAGCAGGGCCTGCTGCCCTCCATAAACCTTCCCAAAACCCGCTGACACCCAGTGCCAGCCACTTGCCACAGACCCGCCCACAAAACTTCGTCCCTCCAGTCTGGGTGAGTGTTTCTGAGCAGGGCTCCTTCATAGTCGTGTAAGCCCTTAGAACAACTTGTTGATGTTAAATATCTATTATTAATATGCTAAGTAAGTATGTTGGCTGTGTTAAGTAAATAAAAGCAGTATGTTTAACAACATAGTGATCCCAAACCACCTATCTGAAAGGCTGAGTAGTCAGAACATATTAAAAAAAATTCGTACAACTCAATGATAATAAAACAATTGTTCTAATTTGAAAATGAGCACAGAGTTAGAACATCATCAGCCACTGGAGTATGCATATCTAAACCCCAGTGAGGCCACTCCACACCCACGAGGAGGGTCACAGCAGAACAGACAGATAAGAACAAGCACTGGTGAGGGTGGGGAGAAATCAGAACCCACACTGCCCGCTGACGGGCCTGCACAACGATGCAGTGGCTCGGGAAAACCACCTGCTAGGCTCAACAGTCCAGACGGTGTTATCACACGACCTGGTAGTTCCATCCCTAGGTAGAGAAATGAAGAGAAGCGACACAGAAACTCCTCCCCAAATGTTCACAGCAGGATGACTCATAATACTCAAAGAATGGAAATGACCTAGCCGTCCACCGAGTGCTGGGTGGCCATGTGGTGGGCCAGAGCCTGGCCACCATGGGGAAGCGAGGACCGACGCACGGCACAGGCCGCACAGGCGGCCTTGCACACCCTCTGCTCAGTGGGGACCACGTGCTCTTGCACACCCTCTGCTCGGTGGGGACCACGTGCTGCTTCAGGCTGTTCACATGCAAGTCCATGAAGCTGGAGTAGACCCAGGGTCACCCAGCACCAGGTATGGGGCGGGTGACAAAAATGTTCTAAAATTAGACAGTAGGGAGGCTGCAAAACCGAACGTGCTAAAATCACAGAGCTGTACATTCAAAGTGGGTGAACTGATTGCTATGTACTCAAACAACAACGGGCTGGCGCTGTGGCACAGCAGGGTAAGCCAGCATCTGGGACACCTACATCCTCTATCAGACCATCAGCTCAAGCCCCGCCTCCTGCTAATATGCAGGAGAAGCAGTGGATGATGGCCCAAGTGCTTGAGCTGCTGCCTCCCACATGGGAGGCCCAGAGTTCCTGGCTCCTGGCTTCAGCCTGGCTCAGCCCTGGCTGTTGTGGGCATTTGGGGAATGAACCTACAGACAGACGACCTCTCTCTCTCTCTCTCTCCCCCTCTCTCTCCATCACTCTGCCTGTTAAATAACTAAGTCCTTTAAATGAAAACAGCAACAAAGGATACTCTCCACATGAGAGGTAGACAAGGACCTGTGTGTGTCTTCTCGTGCGACTTGAGGACTCCGGAGGAGACGAAGCCACGCCCACAGAGCTTGCACTTGTAGGGCTTCTCCCCCGTGTGTGACCTCACGTGCTGCTTCAAGTGGCTGGACTTCTTGAAGCCCTTGTTGCAGTAGTCACACCTGTAAGTCAAACACACAGCGCTCAGACACCATCACACCATCTTCCCTGACAGCCTTGCAACAGGCGGGCACCCTTACACGAGCCAAGCCGGCTCTCCGACTCTAAACCTGACAACACACACAGAGTGAGCCATAATAAAATGCCCGACCAAACTCTGCTAAGTGTCCGGGGTCTGACATGTATCTTGCTTCCAAATGAGTGAGTCCTGGAACAATGCCTGCAGACAGCAGTCCAGCTCCAGAGAAACCGACTCGTCCGGCCCTGCCTTCTTCAGTGAGTGCACGTCGATCCCCAGCCAACTCTGCTGTACGAAACAGTGCACCAGACTGCGCTGCGCACTGTGAAGACTGTATCAAGCCGCAGGACTATTTTCCCTCAGTTGGTACCCAACACACAACATTATTCCAGATTAAAACCACCCTGCATTGCAAGGTTGAGAGTGAACTCCACTGGCACGGCTCTGCTCCCCCGTGCCCCAGCTGTAGCCTCAAGGAGGCAGTTAGGGACACTGCACTAAAGGCTGCACACATGCGAAGGTGTGTGAAGTTTCACTCCCACCAACAAATGGGGTCTGGTGGGGCCGGACCTGTGGCGTAGTGGGTGAAGCCGCCACCTGCAGCGCCGGCATCCCATATGGGCACCGGTTCCAGTCCTGGCTGCTCCATTCTGATTCAGCTCTCTGCTGTGGCCTGGGAATGCAGTGGAAAATGGTCCACATGTGTGGGAGACCCGGAAAGAAGCTCCTGGCTCCTGCTTTGTATCGGCACAGCTCCAGCCATTACAGCCATCTAGGGAGTGAACCAGTGGTTGGAAGACCTCTCTCTCTCTGCCTCTGCCCCTCTTTAACTCTGCCTTTCAAATAAATAAATGTCTTTAAAAAAACATGGGGTCTGGCAAGGCCATCTATTAAAAACAGAAAGCATGGCCGGCAACGTGGCTCAATAGGCTAATCCTCCACCTGCGGCACTGGCACCCCGGGTTCTAGACCCGGTCGGGGTGCCACATTCTGTCCCGGTTGCTCCTCTTCCAGTCCAGCTCTCTGCTGTGGCCCGGGAGAGCAGTGGAGGATGGCCCAAGCACTTGGGCCCTGCACCCGCATGGGAGACCAGGAAGAAGCACCTGGCTCCTGGCTTCGGATCAGCGCGGTGCGCCAGCCGCAGCGTGCCAGCTGCAGTGGCCATTGGTGGGTGAACCAACAGAAAAGGAAGACGTTTCTCCCTTACTGTCCATTCTGCCTGTAAAAAAAA